AAATACATGTCGACCTACAACATACTTTTTCGTATTGATTTTTTTTTTTCAATAGACTTTAAAACATTCGTAATTATGTGTAGATGTGTGGTCCAAGCTAGAGGTACTCCATTAGTTTGCGGTTTATCAGTTTTAGTTTGCGGTTTACATATATATGAATTGTCAAAAGCAAATGTAGTTTGGTTTCAGTTTATTTCAATTAATTTATGTTTCAATTTTATTTTGAACATATTTTATTTTAACTTTAGCCTGTTTTGAAATTAAGGTTTCCCAATCCCATAAAAGTATATCTGAACAACCAAATCAAAATATTCGTTTAATTTTGTATGGATTCTATTGTTGGTAATTCATGTCAGTTTTATTTAACCTAGTTAGACATTTTAGGTGAAGCAAATAGGTTACCAAATTTTTTAACTCTCCGTTTTACAATAATTATAGTTATAGACTAATTTATTTATTTGAAAAGATTGCCATTTTAAACTTTACAGTTCTTGTTATATGATTTTAATATAAATTTTGATGCGAAATATTTAGTGTATCAGTTCAAAATTATTTAAAAAGTATATAACAGAATAGAAGTCCCGAAATCAACCAATTTTTGTATTGGTATAAAAGAACATTTAATTTCTTAATAGTTTACGTCAAATGTCAAAACAAAAGTAAATTAAAATGGAAAGAGTAAAGAAAAGAGGCGTTGATGATTATTGCTCAACAGCTTACTAAACCCATTAACCAGCCCTTAGTTTGCAGCTCCCTGATTCATGAGTCTTCTCATCATATCCCACAGCACATAGTACTACATCCAATGTGTAATTTAAACATATTCGATTTTGTAAGTGTTACTACAAAATCACATGTTGGTGACGCAAGTCCTAGTTTTATTTAATGAAAAAAAAACTTAGTATACAACAACCACAGTATACTATATTTTATAGTTTTTAACGGAAATTTTCAAAGATTCCTAAAACAAGATTGTTTATAAATCAAAATGCAGTAGTATAAAGAAAAAGAAGTATGATGAAAAACGTTTTTAAGATAAGTTCCACTGTTGGTATGAAAGAAATATAACGACCCGTTTTAACAAAAAAAAAAAACAATATATATATAACGACCTTATACTAGATCTTCTATTGTGCGAGATAATTTTATAAGTACCATTAAAACTATCATTCTAAATATTGAAAGAGGTGATGACAAAAATTTCCAATTTACATTATTGCAATTTACTTTTTATGGGGGCAAATTATTGAATTTAGGTTAAGGGTTGTAAGGGCATGATGATCCTGTTTTTGAGATATCTTCTTAAAGCTTTCGTCTTCTTTTTATTTTGTTTTAGATTATATAAATTTGTTTGTTTTAAAACATGATTAGGTTGGAACTTTAGTCGTTAAAACCATATAGTTTTTGTTGAATATACTGTTAATAATTTTTAAAAATTCTTTCCATAATTCTGATATATTATTTACATGTTATTTTAGGCCAGATCAAAACCTAATAATCATAATCTGTAATTTATTTATTTATATGTAAATTAATGTATGAAAACTATAATCTTTTTTAACAAAAAAAAATAATAAGGAATTGTGAAATGAATTATCACAGTTTAATCTTAGGGGTTTTAAAACAAACTGACTAAATTCTGTTAAATCAACTACAAAAAAAAACTATAATAAACGGCAGAAAAAGAAATATCTCCAGAGTCAAAAGCGAGCAGAACAAAAATCCTCTAAAAATTAAGTTCAATATATGGGAACACATGATGAGATACTAAAGTTGATGGTAAAGGTTTAAAACCATCAGAAAGTCAGAGGAGAACAGTAGATGCGGAGATATATCACGAAACTATCACACACAAATGTAATATATTTTCTAACCAGTTCCAAAATTTACCATTAAACTCAAAATTCTACTACATTTTATTGTTTCACGATCGGGCAGTTACTGTTACACTCTGAATTAAATCAGGGATTAAATACTATTGGGACTTTTATCAAAGATAACTAAATCATAGTGTATAAACTAACTAAAAAATGTGACAATTACTCCCAAAATCAAGAAAATGTAGTATTTGACAAATGTGGGGTTTATCAATGGTCCGAAGTGTTCTCCTCATCCAACTTGGCATATCCAACTTCGATGCTAGTCAATGTCTCATCACGTGGGAGAAAAGTCTACTAGAATCCATACAAATAAATGGAGAAATAAAAATGCTATACATGTTAATCTTTATTATATTGTTCAATTAAGTAGCAAAAATTAGTGGTTAATAATTACTAAGATTCCACTAACCGGTGATTATTGGGCCCCTCTATATTATTTACGAAAGTAACAAAATTTGATCCATATATAACGACAATGCCTTACTTTGATATGATCTTCGGATAAGCTTTGTAACCTTTGAAGCTTAACAACACCAAGTGAGTGCTCACAAGTAAAGACAAACATGCTATTTACGAGATCTGAAGCACAATCTCTCCTGTTAATTAATTACCATAAGCTTTACTTCGTGCTTTTGAATAATTTATTACACCATCACATTAATCATCATTCAAACATTGACCTCTACATTTTATGTACAATTTTCAATGGCGGCAGCTTACAAACTATTCCGACTTTTTTTTATGTCAACTGAAGAAACACTCCATTAAGTTATATGGTTGAATTTCCAATGTGTTTTTCTTTTAATCACGCTTCCGATTTCTATTCCAATTCTTAAGCATGAATCATACACGTGATAAAGTAAAAACTGTGCTTGTTAATTAGTTATTGTTCTTTTATCTTTTTTATAATGATGAATAGGATCAAGAGGGTCCAACTGAAAGTGAGTGACAACTAAGATGACGTTCACGTTGTCCCGGTCCTCGCAAATTTCCTAGGAGCTATAGAGAGACATTACTCTCAACTCTTGCTTCACCTCTTCCATAACGTAGGACCCTCCTCCAATCTTCCCATTTGTCTTTTTTTGCCTCTTACCTCTAGTAAAACAAAGAATAAAAATTAATTTTGTTTTGTCGTGAAATATATTTTCAAATTCTATCCAGTATAGATATATGCTCATATGCTTTCGAAAATGTATTGTTTCTTTTGTTTTCATGAATCATAGACATCAACTTTTCATAGATTATGGTACGTGATTGTGTTAGTCATTTGAATATAATAATAAAGTTACAAAATACTAAAGTTTTGGGGCTATAATGATTACATTCCTCTATAGCTGATGATTATATAATATGCTTGATGATAAAATCTTGTAATGATTTCTTACAAGGTAATGTAGCGTAGTAACAAGGCTTTGATGTATGTGTCTCCTTTTTGGTTCTTGTTGTTAACAACTTGCAAATTTGGTCGATCGAATGATAACTACATTTCCTTCATGTTATGATGTCAACGAAAATAACGCATTCACTTCAACTAAATACAACAACTTGTATATCTCTAAAGAAGCCAAAAGTAGTTGCAAAACAAAAACAATACCTCAGTCGAACCTATATACAGCGACATTAAAACAACATCTCTCGAACGAGTAGGACTAACAATGTTTTAAGTAAAAACTGCACTTACACATGATATGTTATATTCAATTTCGATTTATAGCCTTAATTTTGTCTGCATAAAGAGATGTCACAGTGGGTCAATTTGAAGAATATAAATAGTACATACACACAACATTGAAGCATGGTTTGTTGCTTTGAAATGGATCTTCTATTGAAGCAGGACATTATAAAAACATTGCAATAAATACAAATTTTCTCAAGAGTTACCAACGAAAAAATATATACAGCCTTGCTTTGAAAGCTATTCTTCCTTAGAATTATTATGCAAATTGTTAACACAATAATTTTAATTTAATGGCTTTTGTCGTGGTTGCCAAGTGTAGATATCGATTGATATAAAACATTTCTGAAACATTCCTGAATGTTGTTGTTCCTTGGTCTTTTACTATTTTACAACCTTTGTATATTTTGGTTTACGAGATAATATTCGTTTATACAATTTGAATTTCTGAACCGTTTTAATTGAATTATATATGTTGCCACTTGGTCTCGTCGGGTGGATCATGTCACTTGGTCTGGTAGTTCTTGCCAAATCTAAATCTCCGGATCATCTTTCTCACCCTCTCTTTAATCAAACCGAACTTAACCGCCTAACCGGATTGGCTGTGATCAAATTTGTGACCCCGCTTTTGTTTTGCAGAGAAGATATTACCGGTGGTGAAGAAGTAAACATTTACTGCTGTATAAGCTAATGATCTGTGCAATGCAGCTGCTGTGGAGGCCACATTACTATAATCCTTTTCTCAGAAACCGAACACAATACAAGGTTCAAGAATGCTTAATTACGGATTGTTTATTTTGTTATTCAGGCTCTAGCATTCTTCCAAGATAGCTTGGTAGTTGGTACACCATCTCATTCCAGTCACTTCGAAATTTCTCTTGGTGGAGGTTGGTCTTAAACATCAATGCATCTCCTTCTTTAACTCGATAGTTTCACAGGTTTTGTATACGTTTTTTAAGCGTTAAAATGCACTAGATCCTTCTTCAAGCGTCTGTACAAGGTTTCGGGTCAGCAGTTGGTGCCAAGATGTTTCCATTGATTTAAGTCCTAGTCTTGATATGTTTCCCCATCACTTACCCGATAAGCAAAGTTAACGTATCATTCCCTTGAAATATGTTCCTTTGAAGATGCTTGAGCTGAAGTTATTATGGTTTAGGTTCTTTACCTGTTAGTAGATCTCTTGTTGGGGAAAGAACAAAAGCCTATGTTTCAAAGAGCCGAGCTGGTAATCTCTAGTCGATCTCACTGGAAAGAGATACATCAAGCTTCTTTATATATAAAACTGTTACCTCGAGTAACCTTGTTAATGACGAAAATGCATCTCTATAACATACTGAATGAGCTTCAAAGAATCTGGAGTGTGATCAGTTCTCTGACTATATCGCAGGAGACTGATCCTCATGACGATGCTTAGAGACTATTACTTTTGTTTACGCTACAAAGTCCAACAAGATGATAAATAATCGAAATATATAACAGATTCGGGCTTACTTCGGTTTATTTTTTACATTGATGCACTTACAAGACTCTTTGCTGTCCAATCATATATACCTAAGGAGCTATGTATACACTTGTTTTATTAGAGCTGTCTTGCCTTAAACACCCACATGATTACCATTTAAGCAACAAAGAGATTTGATTATAAGTAATAGCATTTGCCTGAATAGCTGTGATCATTCAGTGTACGTAGCTCCTGATGAAATCATTGAGGAGGAGGACGGTATATGGCAGAGATAGTACGAGGGAAGAACATTTGCCTGACTCCTTCTGCTTTTATTATGGGAAAGATGATACCTGACGCACTCTGTTCAAGAGGAAGTTATCAAAGATTCAAAATTTTGTTTTTGCAGATGTTAGTGTATAGTAGAAGTAACTCTGTTTCAGAAAGTGGGAAGAACAGCTTACCGAGATAACTCTAGCTCCAAGCCAAAAGCTTTTGATAGAAGGAAATGGTAGCATTAAACGACCAACAGCATAGATCGCCACAGCAAAGAAGTGGAGAACTAAACTCAAAGGACGAGGGTTTAAACCAGAGAGCAATGCAACCGGACCAGATGCGCAAACACCTCCAAGGCTAAGATAGTCGAAGCAAGCTTCACGCATCTCCGTTTTCGCTTCATCGGAAGAAGCTAAAAAGACCTTGTACAACGCACCCGCCAATGTATTAATGGTGGAAGCTACAGGCTGTAGAAAAGGCCATACATAAGACACATCAAAACTTGAATCAACAACATGGGAACAGTTCACTTTAGATGTAAAGGTGCTTACTTTCCGCAGTGTGTAAAAGGATTCAATGTACTTAGACAGTGCTTCTTTGTCGTTAAGACTGTGAATAGGCCTTAGAAGCTCACGGAGTATAACGATATCTGCCAATGCAACAGTCATTCCACCACCGGTTAAAGGATGTCGCATGTTGAATGCATCTCCAAGGAGAAGTGCTCCAGGTGTAGGAACCGGATCAGCTGGCATGCTTCGGTTCGGCATGGTTCTTATATTACCCTTTTCAACGGCGGAGATGAACGCTTCACGAACCTCAGGTGGTACTTGAGGTGCAACCTGTGTTTTCAGATACTTTGCCATTTCACCATTTCCAATGGAAGGAACTTTTTGACCAGGTACATCGACTAAGCAACGGACTTCTGTGCTGCTGATGGGATATAATAAGATGGGTGATGGGTCACCGAGAACAACATGCCCGTGATTTGCAAATGGGAGTTCACAATTCTCCAAGATAAGACCCACAAAAGTAGAGGGCACATCGACCTGATTGGATAACAAACTGAGTTAAGTTTCACAAACAAGAAAAGGAGATTTCCCTTCCTAATGACTAATCTAAGAGAGAACAAAGGCACCACCTTAGGCTTGCAGAGAGAGCGACGCAAGTTGGAGAAACAACCATCGCAAACAATCGTGAGAGGAGCATATGATCTAAGTTCATTGCCCTCTTTTGTTTTGTATTGAACCCCTTTGATTGTCCCGTTTTCTTCTAGCAACGACGTAACTGTTCCTTGCTCCAATCGTACACTGAATCACAAACAAAGCATTCGAATCATCAGAATCGCATATCAACAGCTAGATATTCGAACAACAACAATAAAAGATGATTACTTTGAAAGTGTTGCGGCCTTTTCTCGCATTCTCTGCACAAATCTCCCATTGTGGAAGCTTCTCCCGGCTATATCCGAATCAAACGTTTCTAAGGGGTAAGAAAGTTTAGTGTGCTTCCCATCTTTGAAGAGAGCATAACCAAGGACTCGTTGAGCATCTATCTCCTTTACACAATCTACACGACGAAACTATTTAATAGACCTACATAACCCAAAGTATATAGCTATATAACAGACTCAAGTTGATGTGTCTACCCTCAAGGCCGAGCTCAATTAACTTCAAGTAACCACCAGGTTGAAGCAATTCACCGACGATTCTGTCTTGCTCAGACAAGTCTCTTTCTATTACGTGAACACGTCGTCCTTCCTGTAACCACACAACCAACAAAGGCCAAAAAGTAGACAAGAAATTACGTCTTGAACACATAAACAAAAAAAAAAAAAAGGAAAAACCTGAGCTTTCTTTAACTTGTTAAAGCACACACATTTAAAGCAATGACCATGAAACAAGCATATCTATCTCTAATGTTCCGGGAACAATAAAGATCACACCAATTTTGTGATCCAAAATCAAAATATAATCTACTAAGCCAAGTTCTAATTATCATCAATGTGTGGAACAAGTTCCTAACAACATGAATTAATATAATTCGAACAGCTAACAATCAGACGAATTGGATAATTAATTGCAGAGACAACAAAATATTTTTTTTGAAAATTCCCTGAATTGTATTTGAAAGAAAAAAACAAAAAGCAAAAGCATTCAAAAAAATTTCCAGAAATATCATCAAAATCAAGGAACATTGGAGAGAACCAAAATCAGAAACCAACACAAAATTTAGAGACTTGCCTTGCCGAGAGTATGAGCAAGAGCTGCACCGGCAACACCAGCTCCGACGATGATAACATCGATACCGGAATCACCCTCCGTCGCAGGATTCCTCGATACAGCGTCGTTTTGAGCAACGACGAGCCCACGGTTCTTCTTACTCCGAATCAAATTCGCGTCGCGGCTGCTATTTCGGCGTAAAACGTAGAGGAGCACAAACGCGAACAGAGAAGCCACAAATGTCCCAAGAATGAATTGATCCAATTCAATCACCGGCGCCATTGTTATCGTCTTCTTAGAGGTAGAGGTTAGGGAGCCGCACTTGTATCTCTCTTCCGCCGCTCCCCGGCGGCGAATAACGGTGGCTCCGGTGGTTAAGGAGAGGTTTCTGAATCGACGCGTGGAGAGAGAGAGTCGAGGGGAGAGGGAGAGATCTTTGTAGGGAAACGAAGATCTAAGAGATGTGGCTGTTAATCGAAACCGTGGAAGTTTCTGGATCATAATTTTTGTTTGTTAGGAAACACGAAATTAAATACGGCCATATGATATAGACCAACGTCCAGCTCCCAAATATAATATTACCTGGGCATGTAACACTAATTTTTTTTTTTCTACCATCTATCTTTATTTATAAAAGATAATCATAATACATCAAAAATACATAAAATAAAAACAATATAATATGATAAAACAATAAAAATAAAATTTGACAATTCTTTTCTCCAAAAAATTTTACTTGCAAATATAATATTCATCCTTCCTTCTTTAAATTCACATTCAATTTGATACGATCTTTAACTTTGACTATTCATTGTACCCCATGTTGTATTACATTAACACATTCTGAAATATGAGCTATAGATGTTCGTCGAATAAAAACATAATTTACTGATTCTTTCGATCGAAATAAGATATGGAACTGCCAATTTTCAACGACTGTACAAATATTGTTATACAACAAGGGTGCATCTTCCGTTCCAAACCGTTTTATTTTCCATGATGGTTTCCATGGAAGTAAACCCTTATTCAGAAAAGCAATATCATCGGAAAAAAATCAAACTAGGATCCCATATTCTCCGACCAATATACCAATATGATTTTTGAGAAAATGGATTGTTAGTTTTGCCAACAATCCAACACAAAAACGATTGGATCGGAAATAAACTTTGCATGAGAGAGAGAAAACGGTTACCCGGAACCGATTATGCTTAAAGAAATTGAAGATAGATCACCAATAAACTTCACCACAACCGATCTTCGTAGATACCGTCTGGGTCGAAATCAGGCTTAAGAAACTAAAAACCTGATGAACCATCATCATCACTGGTGCAAACGTAATCACCATCAACAACATATAAGAGGAAACAAATAACAACTCTAATAAGAGACAAGATCACCACATGAGATCAACAAAACCACCGCCAGGGATCCACAAAAAGAGTTTGAAGAAAAAGAAGCGGTTAAAAATCAAAAGCAAACCGCTATGTTTATCACCAAATCGCCTTGGAATTGAAAACAGATTGCAGTGATTGAAGAGAAGAGGAGAGATTAGTTAGATGATTACAGAACCACCGGCAATTGTTGGAGGCCCCGGAAAAACCAGAGGAAAAGACGATTTGCTTTTATCGCCTTTGATATTGCCACGCTAATTACTCTCCGTTTCTCGTTTACAATAACACCTTTATGAATTAATGTTGTTAAATACTATAAGAAAAACTTAATTTATAAAGAAATGAAAAAAAAAATATATGTGAGACTATAATAGAGCTAAGAAGAAAATATAGATTTGGTTATTTTCTTGCAAGAAAAGAAATCAATCTAGATTAATGTAAATTCGGAGGAAGTAGAAATTGCAATCAGGCAAGGAAAAACATAGCCCCAAACGACTTCATTGTAACAATCAAGATTGATTCAGATTATAATCAATCGATTATTCAAGAAAAACAATTAAGCATAGAAATCATCTATTAACCCAAACAAAAAGCATAAAAATTATTGAAAGAATTGTAAATTTAGGACACATTTTACAAATAGTTGTCCTATAAGAATTTTTGGACTTTTTTCACTTTTGAACTTAATTATTCTTTAATTAAGAATTATATTAATTAAAGAAATTCAAATTTAATATTTATTTTGTTAAAAAAATACCAAATAAAGATATAAATTAATTATCAAAAATCAGTTATGGAAAATTTTAAATTTTTAAAAATTATTTTCCACAATATATAGAAAACATATTCTATAAATAAAAACATATTCTACATTTTACAGTTTTATAGAATATGTTTTCTAGATATTCCTCTAATTGATGTTCTATATGTTTTTCATTTTACTAGACGTATAGAATATGTATTCTACAAATTCGTCATCGTTCTACAGCTTTTGAAATATATATTCTACACTTTTAGCTACATTCTATATTTTACTAGAATGTGTATTCTACTAATCTTTCTTTGTTCTACGTAATGTAGAAAATATATTCTACTAAGTTGTTAAGAAAATCTAAGAAAATCTAGGATTCATGTGCTTAACCACCAAAATGAATATTTTCAAATATTTACTTTCCATTTTTCCCCATGTTTTTTTCCCACATTTTTCTACACGTTTTTTTTTTCCCTTGAGGTTCTTCACGTTTTTTTTTCTTCTTTTTCTTCTCTTCCACAGACTTTCTTCACGCTGTGATTCAACAAAAACATGTTGCATATGTATGTATCATCTGGTGAATGGAGAAGGTCTGATAGCAATAAAGGATGGGTATTTAGCGATAGTGTGATAGGCTAATTATGCTGGAATCAAGTATTACTCTAAAGGAGTTAAACACGATGGTGTTGGAGGATTTTTGAGTAGGCCAACAGATTTTGGAGTTAAGTTATTTACCAGCCGATTTGATTCACAACAACGATTCTCCCCCAGTTGTTATCACAAATGATCGCCAACTGAAAAATTTTGTTGGTTATGCAAGGAAGAGTTCCTCAATACATTTGTGTGTCACTTTTACAGCTGAACGAAAGAAGAATACATGCTACAAGAGAAGATGACACTATGTTCCATCAAAAGTCTGACGGTTTGAAAATTGTGAAATTTTAGCGACGTGATGATTCAGAAAACAATTCCTGAAACGTCGATGATGATGGTGATGAGTTATTCATTGGTCAAAACAAAGAAGAAAGTGAGAGGAAGGTTCGGTTCTCCTTGTCTAATGTTGTAAAGAAAGACCAAACTTTCACCAGCAAAAATGTTCTCAAGGAAATTCTGGAAGTATGTGCAATGAAGCACAACATTGACTACAAGGTTGAAAATGAAAAAAACAGTGGTGGTATATACGCTGCAAGGATAATGGATGCAATTGGGCTGTTCGTGCTGAGAGTTTACAGGGTTCTAGGTATTTCAAAATCAACAAATACGTCGCTGACCATACTTGTGTTCCTTCCAACAAAAAAAGATGTTAGAAGGATTGCTTTGGCAAAAACTATTGGCACCCTGATTATGCACAAGTATGAGGGTGTGAAGGAAGGGCCTAAAGCGAGAGATATTAATTATACAGTTTATGCGTACAGAGTATGGATGCGAGTTTTTTATAACCATGCTTGGGAGGCTCGCGAGTTTGCAACTAACGTTGTTAGAGGCATCCTAGAGAAAGGTTATGGAAAATTTCTAAAATACTTGCATATGTTGAAAGTAGCTAATTCTGGTACGCATAAAGCAGCTAATCCTGGTACGCAAACACATTATCAGACTGATTGCAATGATAGATTTAAATATCTATTTATATCTTTCGGTCAATTAGTTAGAGGATTCTACGCAACCATTCGTAGGGTTATTGTTCTTGATGGTACTTTTTTGAAGAGTAAATAGAAAGGAGTTCTGCTTGTTGCTACAACTTAGATGGTAACTCTAACTTGTATCCTATTGCAGTCGAAGTTGTTGACTCAGAGAATGACTGCTCTTGGGAGTAGTTCTTGACTCAACTTAAAGTGGTAATTGCAGACGAACATGGTTTGGCATTAGTGTCAGATAGGAATACTTCTGTCATGAAATCACTTGCTAAAGTGTAGGCTCATTCTTCTCATGGAATTTGCATCTACCATTTCTTGAATAATGTGGTAACTTATTTCAAGACAAGGGGTTCGACAGCGATGATAGCAAAAGCTTCAAAAGAATAAAGGGTTCCCGAATTTGATAGGCAATTCAACAATATTTGCAACATTAATCTGATGGTTGGAAAGTACCTCGCGGAGGCTGATATCAGAAAATGGGCTCGTTGCATATTTCCTGGTTTCAGGTACAATGTTAGAACCAAAAACCCCGCTGAATCGTTAAATTCTGCATTGCGATCACCTAGAGAATATCCAGTAATTCCTCTATTTGATAGCATTAGATAAATATTAACCCATGGGTTTTTCGAGCGTAGAAGATTAAGCTTCAAGCATAAGAACCCATTGACCATTCATATGGAATAAAAGATTGAAAGGAGGATTGAGAAGAGTGAAACTTTTATTGTGCAACCGGTTAGTCATAATTGATTTCTAGTTAATGGCGAAAAAACTGCTTGTCAATTTAGTGGGGATATCTTATACATGTCCCAAGTATGACTTGTTAAAAATCTCTTGCAGACACACCATTGAAGCAGCCTTTTCGATTGATAAAGCACTACATGAACTCACTGATGCTAGGTATAACCCTTTTGATATTTCTGTTATGTTTTGTTTCTTACATCTCCTCAGCTAGTAATATAATTGCATAATAATTGACAGGTATACAACTACCGCTTCGAGATCGGTCTATGAGGAAAGCATTAATCCGATAAATGTTCCAAGGATGCATGGCATGTTCCAGTGGAGGTTGAACAAGCATGGATACTTCCGCAACTTCTCAAGATCCATGACCAGGATGATGTACTTAGGCAGGATGTTTATATCACATCCTGCGCCATAACCAGACACGTAATTACGCACAAGTATACAAATCTCAACCTGTCATCACGTTTCCACTCGTTAACATTATCTCAGTGCAATGTCAATATCTTCTGGACACTAATTCCTTTATCACTCAGTAGCAAATTGCTCTCGAAACTACCATCAGATTTCCACTTTTCAAAGTTGCAGTTCTTAGGGGTGTTGTAGCTGAGCTCAGTGACCGCGTGGAATTCTTGAAGTAAAAACCACAAAGGCCGACTCCCAAACACAAACCACAACTCATGCTGCTGAAATTTGAATATCCAAGATCGTTGCTGTGCAGACAATCTGACCAAACACTGGATCCCTTAAGACAGCTGCGTACTCAGGTTTTAGCTTCTTTTCTATTGTGGTTAGAATAGATAACTTGCAGCGGTTATTAATCTTCTCTGTTTATGTTTCAGATCTAGGCCTGAAAAGAAGTTTTGGCAACTCAAACTCCATACCTGCAAATAAGAAAACGCAACATCTTTTTCAGTGGGAAAAAAACAACTACAAAATAAGTCATCAAGACCAGGAAAATAAAACTCAAGTAAACACATATCAGAGGAAAGCTCATGCAATTAACAAATTTAGACAAACAACCATCAGAAAAACCCGTAAAAATATTCTTCAAGTTCATACGATAAATGCAACCATGCAAAACAATGTTTATTTTTAAGCTTTCTCAGTTTTAAAGAAAATTTCAAAGCTTTTTATTTTATATAAGTTTTCCTGCTTCTACAGAAATTAGATGAAGAAAAACGACAGCAAGAATGGTACATGAAAAAATGCTGAAGATATATAGTTCAATATCCACACACACACCAAAACAAAAAAAAAATCATGCATGTGTATACAGACATTCAACATCTGCACAATCAAGTGAACTACTCTCAAATCAAAAATCCAATAAAGATGCTAAGTGAATTTGAGAAACTCAACGAAGAATGGTGATGGTGGATACACGATGAAGGCGAAAAGAATAATTAAGAGTGATATACATGGTTTTTATGGTTTCTGACCACGATATAAGTTTTGTTTATAGGGTCTTTATAGTGTTTTTTGAATCTTTTGAAGTTTTTTCAGGACTTAAGTACGTTTGGAGCTTAACTGGATTTGGAGTACTTTGGAGCTAAATAGGGATCAAATTCGTGAAGGATGATTCACGTGCTTTGGTGTCGCTCAACACCACTGATAGTGTCGCTCGACACTATTTTGGGAATAAGGAAAAACGTGATTTTGTCCAAGTTTTGAAGAATCTCTTGGGCCCAGAAGTCTCCAATATTTACAAGAAATCCCAACACGTGTTTTTACCTTTTAATAGGGTTTTCAGCCACCAATATCGAACACCTTAGATTTTCTTAAAGAGCTTTTATCTTTTGTTCATCGATACTTTGAGAGCTTTTGAGGGGAGACAAGTCTGAAACTCTGTTCGGGAGAGAGAAAATTTCGAACCCCTGTTTATTTATCTATTTACTGTTTTCTGCAATCTATTCAAACATGTTCATTGTTTCAATCTTCATGTCTGAGTAGTTTGTTTGTTAGGTTTATGGTTCTTGTAAAGGATTTCTTTGAATGATTGGTCATGGTACTTTACCTGATTAGTTCTTTACCATATATTTTCTTAAAGCTAATTCTGGACTGGTCACCTAGAACTTAGATCATTAGGTTAATTGATTGATACAGAAGTGTAATTGAATAACCAAAAAAACCTAAGGTGAGCAAAGTAGCTATTCGCAAAAGAATTTGGTTTAGATACTTTGTGAACATATCAAACTTGAGCTTAAAGCTGGTTTACGTCTTTAGGATTTACAAAGAAATTTGGAATTCTGAGATTTAGACTTAGATAATTCTCGCAACGAAAGTTGGTTAATTATAATTTCGTGATTTGAATTCAAGAACCGCGCTTAAACCAGAACCCTGATTAATCGATTTATATGCATACTCTGATTTTCTGAGAAAAAAACTCTGAATCTATCTTTTTCCCATCGACTTTAAAACCGTTTTGCTTTCATTGTTGTTTTCAATTCATTTTGTTTGCTTAGCGTATTTCAAACCTTGATAATTTATTATGCAAATCTCTCATCTATGTGGTTCTCTATTAGACTACAATTGTACATATGTGCTCTTGCAGAGTAGTTTTAGGGATTAAACATTGAGCAAATCAAAGAGAAATGATAAGAGAAGCAGAGGAAGACGATAAAGTCCAGTTTTGTCACCGCCGGTATCGAAGCCGCCACAATGGAGAGACAGCGACGATGAATCTTCTCGTCGGGGAAGCAAAGTATTAGGATTTTTTGTTTTGTTTCTTTACACAATTTTTTTGTTACTCATGTTGTCTCATTTTTTATTATTTTATGTTTAACTTGTTTTTAAATTGTTTTATGTTTTAGTAAAATAAAAAATTAAGGATAATTTTGGATTTCAATAATATTAAATCTTAAGAGAACAATGTTTAAGTTAATAAATCCAAAAGGATAAATGATTTGGGAAATTGTCTTAAATTTTTAATTATCTCAAAAAACAAAGAGAGTTGTGTGTCCTAGACCTATAACAACATGGAGAAACCCAAAACACCAAAAAAAAAATTAATCCAATAAAAATAAACATGTCACATGATTTACTTTTTGTTACGTATTTGTAATTCAATTTCACATAACTTATAAAAAAATCCTAAACAGATATTTGCCTTCATTCGATTTTTTTCTATAAGATCTCGATCTCTTTATTAACAAATTCTCAACAGACAAGACTGGCTCGGGCAGGCCAGGCTCCATGGACTGGTAAGATGGACCCAAGCCTTAGAGAAATTTATGTTTGCTTTGGCTAAAATATTATTGAGATATTTGATGTGACAGAGCCGTGTGTGAGGGCCAAGAAACCAAAAACAAACAAGAGCGTCGAAAGCAATGTCACTATCTTATCATTAGCCCTTTTATATTTGATGTGATGGCTGCTGCACCAACCACGTGACTCTCAAAAATGGTTGCTCAAACCAAACCCATTCTTTTCAACGTGGAACGACGAATGATCTAGTAAACTTTCAAAATAGTTGCTCCACACGAATCCCTTATAAATATCATTTTTCCCCGTATAGGATTTTGATTATTTAGAAAGTAAAAGAGAATGAGTTTGACACTAAAATTGCTGATTCTGTTTCTATTTGTCTTGAGATCACATCATGTTGAATCCAGCTCTGTCGTCAAGTTTCTACCTGGTTTTGAAGGCCCTCTTCCTTTCGAACTCGAAACCGGGTTTGTCAAAATGTCTCTTCTTCTTTACATTAGTATTGTGAGTTTGGAGTGTTAATAATTTAGCCATTCTTATGAATGAAGATATATTGGTCTTGGTGAGGAAGAGGAAGTGCAATTGTTCTACTATTTCATCAAATCTGAGAGGAATCCACAAGAAGACCCTCTTCTTATTTGGTTAACTGGAGGACCAGGATGCTCTTCTCTCGTTGGCCTTCTTTTTGAAAACGGTAAATCTATATATAAATAAAAATTCTTCTTCCGCTAATCATTTTGAAGACATGTTCATATTAGTAAAACAAAAATGATGTATAGGACCTGTGGCTCTGAAGGTCAAGGTTTACAATGGAACTGTTCCTTCTTTGGTCTCTACTACATATTCATGGACAAAGGTAGCGTAAAGTATGTTCATATTGGATCATAAACCCCAATTATTTACTCTTGAGCTTCTTTGAAAAAAATGATTATTTTCTCAGATGGCGAACATAATATTCTTGGATCAGCCTGTTGGAGCTGGCTTCTCATACTCAACAACGCCACTTGATAAAACCAGTGATACAAATGAAGTTAAGAATATCCATGAGTTTCTTCAAAAGGTAATAATTAGCAACCTTAATTATCTTTTTGAAGTAATAGACTTTGTGACTTCTTGTGTAGGCCCGGGTTTTGACCGAACTGAGCAAACCGAACAAAACTTTTTGGTTTTTGGTTTATACCAAATTTTACGAAAATGTATTTAAAATTCAGAACAGAATATAGCTGAATTACTCGATTTTAAATTTTTAATCAAATTTCAATACCGTAAATTTTGCTTATATTTGATAGAATTATCCAATTACGGAATCGAACCCGAATTTCCAGGTCTACTCTTGTGTATGTTGTAATTCTCGTACTGCAAAGTTACTGATTGATAGTTGCTTATAATATCGATAACGGCGAGATTACTCTTAACACTAATTAGTCAAACTCATTAAAACACTCTCGTCACATTTAATCCTAAGGTTATGTCCATTGGTGAACCTCTGATTCATCAGATATTAATTTCTTTTTTTTCTTTTTTTAATTCAAAAATTAAAAAAAAAATTTCGCCTAATATTTTGCCACCTGGACAAACTTGGACGAATCTGAAGTTTTCCGAGTTGTCCTGAAGACCCGAATCTTCTATTTTGAGCTTTTTTTTATTTATTTTTAATCACATTTGCATATGTACTCGAGTCTAAAAATGGAAAGACCCCCCAATAAACATGCTCTAACACATTCTGATTTTTTTTATATGAACCGAGCATGAAACGATTTAGGTTTTTATTGGTATTCTGCGAGCAATTAGCTTATCAATAGAAACACAACCATCTAGAGTGTGTTTATTGTTTTGTGCAGTGGCTAAGCAAGCATCCACAGTTTTACTCCAACCCTTTATACGTCGTCGGAGATTCTTATGCCGGTATGATTGTTCCAGCCCTTGTTCAAGAAATCTCAAAAGGTATTTTTTTTTTTCATCAAACGACATAAATCAATCGATCCCCATACAGTTTGCTTTGATATTTGCTCACTTCTTAACAATATAGACACTATGATGCAGGAAATTATATATGTTGCAAGCCTCTTATAAATCTGCAGGTTATTAATATTTAATCGATTATTATATTATATATATTTTCCGAATACCAAACGATTCATAGTAATTAATTTATTATTTTACATAAAACAGGGTTATGTGCTCGGAAATCCAATAACAAATGCTGAATTTGAAAAAAACTATCGTATTCCATATGCTCATGGCATGTCATTAATATCTGATGAACTCTACCAGGTATGAAAAAAATGCAATGCTATAATCTTGATAGTTATATCCTTTACGAAGCCTAATACTTTTTCTTACAGTCAATGAAGAAAATGTGCAAAGGAAATTATGAAAATGTGGATCCACGTAACACAAAATGTTTGAAACTTGTTCAAGAATACCATAAGGTACACACTCTGAAAGTTGGTCAATGTTTTCTTTGGCCAATGTTTTCTTTTTGTTGGTTTAAAATAACATCACTAATTCAATTTTTTTTTTTGGCTAAATTATTTACAGTGCACTGACAAGATAAATTCACAACATATATTAATACCAGATTGCGATGACAAAATAAATTCACAGCATACATCTCCTGATTGCTATGTAAGTATAATAGTTCTCTTTCCGTCATCTAGCGACTATGGTTAGGTGAAAACATCTGTTTCCGTTCTTATTCGATTCAAAATGTCAGTGAACAAAAGCTTACACTGAATATAAAATACTTAAACTAATTATTCGCTTAAAACAGAGTAACAAATAATGACGATGCTGATTGCTAATGTAAGAATCATTATATGTGGACATATCCATATTTTGATATAGTTCACACACACACAAAATTGTCATTTTTATGATTAATTTGAAGAAACAATTATACAAGGTTGCTTTTGCATGCAGTATTATCTGTATTATATCATTGAATGTTGGGCCAACAACGAGAGAGTTCGTGAAGCTCTTCATGTTAGAAAGGTATAAGCCAAGTTTTGTTTAATATCATTGACGAAGTGTACAAAGAAAGTTTTTTAAATTCTATATTTTTGACGATTAATATGATTACAGGGGACTAAAGGACATTGGCAGCGATGTAACTGGACTATTCCATACAATCACGACATTATAAGCAGCGTACCATATCATAGGACTAACAGCATCAGCGGATATCGATCTCTTGTTTACAGGTTTGAGTTAACATTATTATGAAATGAAAGCTTTTAGGAATAGATTATAGATCCGTTGATTCCTTATAATACAGAAAAACTAGAATTTGAAAAATTCCGCTGTCAGTGTTTTCTAAAGCACTTTTATATTTTTATAAAAAACACAACTTATAAACAAAGTGATAAGAAATTCACTCTTTATTGATTAGAAATCAGAATTACACACCCCAAGCGTATGAACTTGAAAGGCAAATTCCTCTTGAACTCCACAATTCAGAGAACAAGCCCAGACTTCTCTAACAAACTCCCGATGAAATTCAACTAATTTGACTACTCCCTTTTATATAACAAAAGCTCACATTGACTCTTGAGACTTTTATCTAAAAATATCTCTAACAAACTGCCAGCTCAGCAAGTAGTTGACTTTGCTTCTTCTCCCTTTGACTTCTTTCCTTTACGGTAGTATGCACTCCATGGTATATCAATACCCCCGCGTTTCAGAACCAGCGTGTCCTCAAGTGGAAATAATGGAAACTGATGCTTGAAGTCTCTTATCTTTAACCACGAGTTCTCATGTTCCGGAAGGCCCTTCCACTTCACTAACACCTCCAAATGACCCTCTGTTCCATAACGTGACTGCAACAGATATTCTGGTTCGATAACCAACTCCTCATTAGTTGTTACTTCTGTTGGTAAAGGGGTCACTATGGAACCTTCTCCGATCACCGGTTTTAATTGTGAAATGTGAAACACCGGGTGGATTTTAGACTCAGCCGGAAGTTTAAGCCTGTATGCCACTTTCCCAATTCTCTCCAACACTTCAAAAGGGCCATAATATCGAGCAGCTAACTTCTGACAGAGTCTTTTACTTAAGGATTGTTGGCGATATGGTCTAAGCTTAAGGAACACTTTTGCACCGACTTCAAATTCAAGATCCCTCCGGTGCTTATCTGCGTTATTTTTCATAATGCTCTGTGCCCTTAATAGATTCTGCTTAACCATTGACAACATCGCATCACGTTCCTTCAGCATTGTCTCTAATTCAAAGTTACTTGTTGACCCTTCTTCATATGACAATAATGCTGGAGGTTCTCTTCCATAAACGAGCTGAAATGGAGTACACTGCGTGGACGTGTGGAATGATGTATTGTACCACAATTCTGCCCAAGCCAGATATTTTGCCCACGACTTAGGTTGTTGCGAAGCAAAGCAACGAAGATAGGTCTCAAGACATCTGTTTAACACCTCAGTTTGACCGTCCGACTGAGGATGGAATGCCGTGCTAAACCGAAGCTTGGTTCCAGATGCTTTAAAGCACTCTTTCCAGAAGTTGCTGAGAAAGATTTTGTCACGATCGGAGATTATAGAACGAGGGTACCCATGAAGTCGAATGATTTCCTGAACAAATTTTTGAGCCACGTCGAAAGCTGTAAAGGGGTGCTTAAGACCAATGAAGTGACTATACTTGCTCAGCCGATCAACTACTACCAGGATGACTTTGATGCTATGTGATTTCGGAAGCCCTTCAATGAAATCCATGGAGAGATCTTCCCATATCTGTTTTGGAGGTTCGATTGGTTGGAGTAATCCCGCCGGTGAGAGTGTTGAATATTTATTGGCCTGACAAACTGAGCATTCCGACACATACTTCTGTATAGTTGCTCTCATTTTCCTCCAATAGAACATAGACCGAAGACGCATCAATGTTTTTAAAACTCCTCCGTGACCACCCAATACACTGTCATGGTACTCCTTTAACAGCATAGGAATATGACGTGATTGTTGCGGTAAAACCAGTTTCCTGTTGTAAAATAACCTTCCATCATTAATAGAGTATCCTGCCTTAACTGATTCACCCACTGTCAGCTTACGAATTAACTCTTGTATCTCTTCATCTTCGTCTATCTCTTTTAACAAATCCTGAAGCTGTAGGCTTGAAGGAATCGTTATGGAATATAACAATGTTGTTGTGGATGGAATTATTCTAGATAACCCATCAGCCACCTTGTTCTCACTCCCCACTTTATATTCAATGTCAAAGTCATATCCCATAATCCTTGTAAGCCATCGTTGGTAGTCTAAAGTAACCTCCCTCTGCTCCAATAGGTACTTAAGACTCTGTTGATCAGTCCTTACCACAAATCTTCTGCCCATCAAATAGTGCCTCCACTTTTGAATCGCCAAAACTATGGCCATTAACTCTCTTTCATAGATAGGTTTGAGCTGTTCTCTCTCAGATAGGCCATGACTGAAGTAAGCAATTGGGTGCTTCCCTTGCATCAACACTGCGCCCAACCCATACCCTGAAGCATCGGATTCTACCACAAAGACTTGAGTAAAATCTGGTAATGCGAGCACTGGAGTAGAGATCATTGCTTGTTTCAGGTTATCAAAAGCATTTTGTGCATCACTGGACCACTCGAACTGATCTTTTTTTAGGAGTTCCGTTAGAGGTTTTGCTAACAATCCATAGTGGTGTACAAATCGTCTGTAATAGCCTGTCAAACCCAGAAATCCTCTAAGTTCCTTTACTGTTCTTGGTGTCGGCCATTTTTCCACTGCAGCAATCTTTTGAGGATCTGTTGCTACTCCTTTCGATGATATAATATGGCCGAGATACTCTACTGATTCTTCCCCAAAGGAACACTTCTTTTTGTTAGCAAATAAGTGCTGATCCTCAAAGACTTGCAAAACCATTTCCAAGTGTTTGCTATGTTCCGAGATATTCGAACTATAGATGAGAATATCATCGAAAAATATTAACACAAATTTACGCAGAAACTCCTTAAACACCTCATTCATCAGAGCTTGGAATGTTGCCGGTGCATTAGTTAGCCCAAATGGCATCACTAGAAACTCATAGTAACTGTCGTGAGTTCGAAAAGCTGTCTTTTCGATGTCCTTCTCTTCCATCCTGATTTGGTGATAGCCAGATCTTAAATCCAACTTCGAAAATAGCTTCGCACCGTGCAACTCATCCAGAAGTTGATCTATCATAGGAATAGGGTACTTGTCCGGTATCGTAGCTCGGTTCAGTGCCCTGTAATCAACGCAGAAACGCCAGGAGTTATCCTTCTTTTTAACCAATAGAACCGGGCTTGAGTACGGACTACGGCTTGGTCGAATCAACCCACCATCCAACATTTCTTTTACCAGTTTTTCCATTGCTTCTTTATGGGCATGCGGATACCTATAAGGTCTTACGCTGATTGGACCCATTCCCGGATGGAGGTTAATGACATGTTCCCTGCCTCTCAAAGGTGGTAAACCCGTGGGTATCTGAAAAACATGTTCATATTTTGCCAAAACCTCTGCGATGGGTGCTGATATCACTTGTTCTTTGCGTTGCGATGTTGGAGCTGTCAGCAAATTCAACATAACTCCTTGTTTGTGAGCCGCAAAGTCCGGTTGCAAATGTTTCAATGTCAGATTTGTGGAATGTAGAGATGGATCCCCCACGAGAGTAACTTGGCGTCCTTGATACAAAAATGAGAACTCATGTGTCTCCCAATCGATCTGACATTTGCCAAGTGTTCTCAGCCATTGAACACCCAATATTATATCAGCACTACCGAGTTCCAACACAATGAAATCTGCCTTGAATGTCAACTCTTGTAACATCAGTTGCACATCTTTGCAAACTCCGGTACCTTGAACTGACACCCCTGTACCCAACAAAATCTCCAGTTGAGGGTGTTGTACTGTTTTAAGGTGAGCTCGTTTAATGAGGTCTGGTGTGATGAAATTATGGGTTGTTCCACTGTCCAACATTACCACCACTGTACTTTTCTTGACTGTACCCTTAAGCTTGGTTGTCGTTGGAGATTTTATCCCTAAAAATGAGTTTAAGGATAATTCCATTAGCTCGGGTTCTTCCACCATGTATTCATCCTCTATCTCAATCAGATTCTGGTCCAATATCTCCATTTCGAATCCATTTACCACCGTTAACACTTGCAACGTCTGATTTGAGCAGCGATGCACCTTAGACCATTTCTCATCACATTTAAAACACAATCCCAATCTCTTCTTTTCTGCAATTTGTGCTTCTGTTAGTCTGAGCTGCGGTCTGGTGTTGGACAGTTTGGTATTGTTTGACGCCGTATTTGCTGTTAACTGTTTCATCTTCCATGGTGGCACTGATTGACTAGAGTAAGATTTGTTCACCTGGTGAACCAAGGATCTGTTAGCTTGTTGCATTTCTTTCTTCACCACCATATGCAAAAAACTATTCTCCATTTGGTAAGCCGAAGATATCATCTCTGGAAGATCCACTGGTTTACACACATTTACCACTTCTCTCATGTCTGGAGTTAATCCATTCATGAATATCCCTTCTTTCTGTTTATCTGTCAATCCTGCTACCTGAGGAGAAAGATCTTCAAACAGGTGTATGTACTCTGCCACTGTACCCGTCTGTGTGATATTGAAGAATGGTTGGCTCGGATCACGCAACTTCTCTTTACTGAACCGTGCAAACAACCGATTCTTAAAGTCTTTCCAATCCTCAAAAGGTTTCCGATGTGTTTCACTGTTAAACCAGCTCAAAACATCCCCCACCAAACTTATAGAAACTGTATTCAGCTTGTCTTCTTCAGTATAACCCCCAATCCTGAAAAATCTCTCAGCTAAAGCAATCCAACCATACGAATCTTCGCCATTGAAGATCGGAAGCTCAGCTCGTCGCATCATGCTTTCGCGACTACTCATGACTAAATTCCGAGGTCTACCATCATCAGATCTGGAATTAAGGCCTGGTTCCAAGTTTGGAAAACGTACCTGAGGCGTCTGTTTCCCGTGATTTGGATTCGTGTATTCACGCACCTCCGGTGAAGCAGCTGAATCACCTCTCAAATAATCCATGATTTCTGAGAATCGTGAATCGACTTGTGACGCTAGCTCCTTAATCATCTCTCGCGTCTCCGTCTCGCTTTCAATTTGTTGAGTTTTGTGCTTCATCACCGTCGTCGCTAAGGCTTCAAGAGCCATGGCTTCCTTCGTCGAAGGTTCTGGTTCCGACGTTTGTTTCGACTGCTTCATTCTTCACCAATTCGCGATCGTTCAGATCCAGAGCGCTCACGACGCACCAATTTGATAAGAAATTCACTCTTTATTGATTAAAAATCAGAATTACACACCCCAAGCGTATGAACTTGAAAGGCAAATTCCTCTTGAACTCCACAATTCAGAGAACAAGCCCAGACTTCTCTAACAAACTCCCGATGAAATCCAACTAATTTGACTACTCCCTTTTATATAACAAGGGCTCACATTGACTCTTGAGACTTTTATCTAAAAATATCTCTAACAAACTACCAGCTCAGCAAGTAGTTGACTTTGCTTCTTCTCCCTTTGACTTCTTTCCTTTACGGTAGTATGCACTCCATGGTATATCACAAAGCCATAAACTAGAATGTCTTAACTACATATTCAAGAGATTATAAATTTTGTGCGGTTCATGGTGAACAGTGGTGATCATGACATCACGATGCCTTTCCAAGCAACTCAAGCCTGGATTAAATCTCTAAATTACCCCATTGTTGATGACTGGAGACCTTGGATGATAAAAGATCAAATCGCTGGGTAAATTTTTAGTTTTCATTCTTTTTATCATCCTATCGCTAGCTTATCAAACTTAAAAACTCATTCTTGACTTCTTTTCTTGATAGGTACACGAGAACTTATTCCAATAAGATGACATTTGCTACTGTCAAAGCAAGTCTTTTTGTATCAACGTATACCAATTTTTACTATCATTGCATTACAAATGGAAGTGTTAATTAATCTTTTGAGCGTTTTGACTATAGGGAGGTGGACACACGGCAGAGTATAAACCAAACGAGACTTTTATCATGTTCCAAAGGTGGATCAGTGGCCAGCCTTTGTAATAGAGGCTCATGGCCTTTACTTGCAATAATATTCACGCTAGGCGCATATTCTTTTTCTTTTCAAATGTTAAATGTTATTGTTATTTGTCATGTTACATTTTAGTGTTATTCAAGTAATTTTTACATCTTTGTTTGATTTTATGTAGTCCAGATCATTACTGTAGGTCATAGCCTATTTCAATGGTATATACGTATTTTTTTGTCATCAGTCCATGTAAAAACATTTATAATTTTTTTTGTTGTCATCAATCCATATAAAACATTTATAATTTATATTTCAGTGCGTTATTTTCTGGAAATTTTCAGCTTATTGAGGAACCGTGGTTTCTTCATGAATCTATAATATCAATTTGAAATCAATGAAGCAAGCGATAAAAAGAAAATGATAATAACAGGGGAACAGATAATAAGAACAGGGTATGACAAAACCAACTCATGTCTGATTTGCCTCGTCGCTCTTCCTGGTCTATGTTTATTTTATCTTCTTTTATTTTAGTTTTATGAATAACGCAAGCATGTGGACCAATGCATATTTATGCTTCCTACCTACAAACACAATATAAATTGCATCCCCTTTAACATATGAAAGATTCCATTATTGAACATTATGAATATTAAAATTCGATACATCTATCCATTTAACTCGAATTAATAGATTATCTAACTAGAAAATTAATCACGTATTAAAGAAATCATCAATGTGTTAAATGCAGAGTCCAAGACCAATTAGTTCCTAAATATTTTTGGTTGGTCCATTTTCTTTCCTTGTTCATATCTAATTTAAAATTATAGACTTCAACAGAGGCCTGCAAGTTCGATTCTTTGGATTGGGTTTGGTTTTGATAGTCGGTTTTCCTGAGTACCTTTGGGTTTTCAGAATTCTACCAAAACTAACCGAAGTAAAATATAGTTTAATTCGGTTTTTGGCTAACTTGGTTTTTGAATTTTAAAAGGGGCACTAACCAAAATTTGAGAATTTTGGTTTAAATTCAATTACTATAGTTTTTTGTTCGGATATTTATATACTGTATGTTTTTAATAAAATTCAGAATATGTCGGTTATAATTATTTTAAAAAAAAATCAAAGAATTGAACCGAACTAAAAACCGGATGTATTTTATAATGCTATCGATTGGATCTCAGCCAATAACGAAACCTGGACCAAAAACTTCCTTTCGAGGTTTTGTTCATAACCGTCAAAACAATAAACCAAAAAATTTATTAAAAAATTACCAGGAAACTGAATTTGACTGAAGAAAAAGACTGATGAATAACAAGAAAATACTTAATGTCTAACAAACCATGCATTTACGTCAATATTAGTTTCCTCTTTTATAGAACGAGGTATAGTTAGAAAACTATTATCACTAAAAAGAATTCAAACAAGTAATGGAAATGAATCGTTAATTGTACCGATTTGCTAAGGAGTAGTCGAAGCAGAAAACCCACTACGTGACTGACATTCATTTATCTCAGATATCAGATATAATAAAGATGTGCATCTTTAATACTTGAATACAACTGATATAAATTATCAATCTTTTCTTAGTCAATTATACAAATATACAGTCTATAGATTTGTGTAAATTGAATTTATTGATATAAGTCCAAAAAATATGAATGTTAATTAACAAAAAAAAAACTGTGAACTATACAACAATATACTATGCCCAAACACATTAAGAAAAATAGCATAAATTGGTTTTGATTCGATTTATACAAAGTACGTTGCTTATCAACGCTAGACCTAGAAACATAAATGTGAGTATACTGTTAAAAACAAGGAAAACGGCCGATTCCTACTTCAACTTTTCTAAATGGTGCAAAAACGTATCAGAGAAATTTGATTGTCTGAATTCATATCTGAACTCTTTAAAACTGGATATTTCATACATGTACTAATAAGGCTTTGGCGAACGTATATATTGACCTATTTCCCATTAGTCAACAGTCATATTCCGTCAATGGAGAAGAATCTCGTGCCACGTCGACTGTAAGGTTGGCACCGGAACATAAAACGACGTTGTTTTAATTTTTTTGTCTGCACGTCGTTTTGTTTTTTTTATTAATCAAAACAACGTCGTTCGTTTTGATTATTACAAAAAAAAAAATCAAAACGATGTCGTTTTAATAATTGCGAACAAAAAAAGTAAAAACGACGTCGTTTCATTTATAATAACCCAAAACAAAATTTATCTTCTTCTTCGACATATTCGTTCGTCTTTTTGGGATAGCTGAAGAGAACCCGATTTAGGGTTGAGATTCATAGAAATTCTTGAAATCTAGTGAAGTAGAAGAAAGAGAAGCCTATTTCGACTTTGGATATACATGTAATCTTCTGGGTCTGAGAAAAATGAGGTAATTCGACATTTAAGGCTTTTAATTTTGGGTGAAAAAATTTCAATTTTTTAAATGTTTTGAATTGTTGAATTGTTCTTTTGTAATAGTTTAATCTTAAAAGGAATTGTTTAATGGTGCAGTGATATCACGGATTACATGTTTTTCATAAACCATGGGGGAAGTTTGAGAAATTTTCAAACAACAATCTCTATTACGCAGATGGCTCTGTCACCGAACATCTTTCACCGGCTCCGTCGCTGTTTCACTCTTTCCCGGTGAGTCTTTTATGGTCAGGGAGTATGGTACAAGCTTCCCTATGAATCTCTCAGTGATTTGAAGATTTTTCTGGATAGGTTTGAGAATTTTGAGAAAATGTGTGAAGCATCGAAATGGACAAAACATGTTGATATTTATCTGGAAAAGGATGAAGACAATGAAGAAATTAAAAATGGTAACAGAGGAGATGGCAATGAAGAAAGACGTGAAGATGGACTAAGAGTTTAGGGATATGAAAGTAATAGACGATATGATGAAAGTGGCCAAGACGAGGTAAGAGATGATGCTCGAAGAAGTTTTCATGTCAGTGGTGGAGTCCGAGAGGAGAGAAGAGGTGAAATGTGTAATGAGGTAATTGGGACATTTGTTGATGAAGAGGAGAACGATGACACATATAAGAAAATGCCTCCTCTTTCGGACAATAAAGGTGAAAGAAATGATGACCGGTGTTATGAAAGTTGGAGAAGAAGAAGTGGGGATCTCAAGATCAGCCAAGTTTTTGAAAGCATTAAAGAGTTTAGAGAGGCTGTATTGGAGTATGCTCTTATAGGTGGTTGGAACATTCAACACAACCGATGGGGATCAATCAAATCAGGTGCGAAGTGTGGCATAGAAAAATGCAATTGGAGAGTCTACTGCTCTTATGATGATGTGGTTGCTCAGTTTATGATAAAGACATTTCAAGACATTCATACATGTCATAAAGACAGACGTTGCGAGATTTTGACCGAGGATGTCACATGCAACATGTTCATATACGAGCTCAGATATAACCCTGACCTGAGGCCTATAGCGATGCAAGAGAGGATACATGAGCGTTATAATGTTGCTCCGTCACACTACCAATGTCGCAAGGCGAAAAAAAGAGCTTTTTCACTCATTGAAGATGAATGGGATGAGCAGTATTCAAGGTTAAAAGACTATCGGGAAGCAATGTTAGAGTAAGTCTTCTTTTTATAATTACTGGTGTATTTGATGGTTTTTTTACTAATTACTCGTGTATTTGCTGTATGTTATAGAACAAATTCAGATTTCACAGTGGAGCTACGAACAGTTATTGCAGAAAATAGGAAAAAAAATTTCGACACTTTTTACATGTGTTTTGATGGGCTCCGGAACACTTGGAGGAATCACTATCGACCCATCTTCAGAATAGATGGTTGCTTCTTGAAGTCAAACTCCAAAGGTCAGCTTTTGGCAGCTGTTGGCATAGATGCCAATAACCAGATATACCCTTTCGCATGGGCAATAGTTCAGGTGGAGAACACCGATAGTTGGGTTTGGTTCATTCAGCATCTGAAGCAGAACTTGGATCTTGGTAACGGTTTCGGTTTCACTTTGATATCTGATCGGCAGAAGGTTTTTCTTCCCTTTTATTGTATATTAAATGAGATATATTTGATTAGATGTTAAGAAAAGTGTATGTACTAACAAGAGATGATATTTCAGGGATTACTTAATGCTGTTACTCAAGAACTCCCACTGATTGAGCACCGGATGTGTGCACGACATATTTACGGGAACATGAAAAAAGCTTTTCCGAAAAAGTCTCGGATGAAAGGTTTGTTCTGGAAAGTTGTAGAGAGTTTCAATGAGGCTGACTACAAAGTAAATTTAAAGAACATGGAAGAGTATGATGAGGAAGTCCATCGTGCATTAGTGAGCAGAGAACCAGAACATTGTAGTAGAGCATTTTTCAGCACCACATCTTGCTGTGAAGATGCACTCAACAATTTTTCAGAGTCATACAACAAGGCAATTGAAAAGGCGCGTGCAATGCCATTGGTTCAGTGTTAAGAGACTATAAGAAGACAAGCTATCGTAAGGATAACACTTAGAAGGATAAAAATGGGTAAGCATATGGCGAAGCATAGTTTGAAAGTTAGTTTAGTCATAGCGAAAGAAGATCAGCATGTGAAACGTTGTAGGTCACTTCCCGGGGACCGTGTGTTTGAAGTTAGTGAGGGAGGTCAATCGTACACGGTCAACATGAAGGAAATGACATGTAAATGTAGGCGATGGGTTCTTACGGGTATTTCGTGCCGACATGCTTTGCGGATTGTGTTTTCGGGTTGTGTTTGATCAGAAGAAGAAATACAAGGTTGATGATCTAGTCTCGGATTGGTATTTGACTACTAAGTGGCAGGAGCAGTACATTGAATCTATTGAACCAGTCAACGGTTCCAAGTTCTGGAGAGTTAATGGTGAACCACGACTTGATACACCGAAGAGAGAAGTTCATAAAGGAAGGAAGAAAAAACCAGCGAAAAAGATAAATTCAGTTACCGAGTCATCAACTAAAGGGAAGAAGGTCACGAATCATGGACGAACAATGCATTGTTATCGATGTAGTGCGGCTGATCATAACGCATGTAGCTTTCCAAATGATGGAGTCCCATTCAAGCCTCGGAAGCCCAAGAATTCTAAATAAGCGCCGACGGTTGATGCGATTGTAAACGGGGTTGGTCGGTTTTACTAAGCTTCAGGTTTTAAATTTATAACCCCTAAATATCTGCAAGTGCACAGATGTACGCTGTAGTACTTAGGGTATCGATCCACAGAGACTTAGTTGTTTCAGTACGAATTCACGGCAATGCTTAAATCAGACTAGAACTAAACAGATTTGGGTTTTGGTTTTGGGTTTTGGTTGTCACGAAATCTAAACTAGAAAGCAAAGCAAGTAAAAGCAATTGAAAAATTAAAGCAAGTAAAAAGCGATTAAACAAAGGCGAATGGAAGCAGGTAACAAGTGAATGAAAAGCAAATAAAATCGAAGGTTGTAAGCTATGGAAAACAAACGTTGGGGCTCAAGGGATTTCGCAGGGATTCATGGACTAGGCTATGTCGATTTTAAACAAGTGATAAAGGTAATCAACTACGTATGTTCTAGAATTCGAGACACGGAAGTATGAATAGCCTACTTTCGCAGCACTAAACAATTATCTCTCGCAACCCTGATCAATAGGTTTCTACTCTGATCCTGGAAGGGAGTAGATGCAATAGCAGAACAAGACTCATCAACATTCACAACTCAACTACAGGTAGGTTTCCACTCCTGTAGAATCATTGCTTTTTTCACCCTAGTTCAGACAATCAATGAAAGCTTTCGCAACATATCATATCAGATCGGCTTCTAAGTGGCCAGCAAAGAATCATGCAGTAAGATTAAAGGCAAACGAAGAACATCTAGAATATTATAAATCCTAAATCTATCGATTCATAAGCAAAGACACACGAAATTACCTTTGAAAAATCTCTTTAAACCAAACTGGGTAATTACTCAAACATATTGTAAACAATCATCACAGAGTATTGAAAGTTGCAGGAAATTAAAGAAAAAAGGAAAGAAAAACGAAGAACAGAGTTGCAGGTGGAGGCGCGATGATGCTCTCCAGCGGCGGCTCCTTCTTTGGGATCGACGGCTTCTCTAAGGTTCTTCTAATATTGAGGCACAAAAACGAACACACCTTTTAGAATGACCGAAAGGGGGTATTTATAGCTTTTGGAGTTGTCCTAGACACTTAGGGATTCAAAAATAACGAAAGAAATCGATTTGAGCTTTAATTAAGTCGTCTGGGAAGTGAACGACTAATGGCCGCGGTCGCGGTGCTTCTAACCGCGGGAAAATAGGTGTTGGCCGCAGTCTCGGCTCGTGGCTCTCTTCCAGAACTGCATTTCTGTCTTTCTTGCATCGGGAGTATCTGAAGATCTAACCGTTGGATTGTCTCCAAACCAAGTGCATTAGAAAGCTGGTTGGATCCTCTATGTTGTCTCAAACGGTGAGAAGGTCTTCATCGCTTGTCATACTTCTGGCGGTCTGCATTTATCCAAAATCGCTCTTTTGTTCCAAATTGCATATTTTTTGCCTAAGTTTCCTATAAAGTCTTTTGAAACTCTAAAACATTGAAAATAATTTAACAACCATTGAAAAAAGAGTTAAAACACCTGCATATGACATAATTATGATCCATAAAAATGGTCAAAATACGGTGTTATCAACGGTGGAGTCTGAGTCTACGAACCAAGAGCCTGAGTCTATGAATTTTGAAGGTGGAGAAGGCCCAGACCCTACTTAACCCTCGCAATCTCAAACATATGTAAGTGAATTCTCATGCTTTTGTCTTTTCATTATTGTTTGGTTTGTTGTTTGTGAGAGATTTTTTGGCATATCAATCATTTTGCAGCCAAGTTTTTTGGAGCTTTAAGATAAGGAAGCAGTTTGTAGAGCTTTAAGATGGAGGAGCTGTTTTTTGGAGCTTTAAGATGGAGTAGTAGTTCATTTTATTATGATTCTCTCGGTTATTTACTATGATTTTCTCGGCATTTAGGTTTATCAAACAATGTTCCTTTTGATTTTAAAACCAAGTGATACTCTGTTATTTTTGATGTTTAAAACAATGTCTCTGTTATGTTGTTGTTAAAGGCATTGGTGTCTTTTCTAGGATAATACATCCAACAATTAATGTAAGTTCTTCTAAACACCATAAAATTCTGTAAATTCTCAAAATTGCTAACATAAGTATTACTAGCAAGAAGCTTACAACCATTTCATTACACAAAAACCCTCAAAAAACAAACTATGGCTAGATAAAGTAGGAAGAAGCAATCACAACAATTCCACAGATCATCATCTTCTTAAAAAATCGAGTATCCTCTTCCATTTGCGAAACTGCCTTCTCATACCCAGCTACATCTGCTTTCAGTGCTTCAAACTTGTTTTCATATCCACGAATTATGTCTTTCAGGAGCGCAATCTAATTCTCAGATGAACGGAAAACATCTTTCATGTCAACAATCTTCTCAATCATTGACTCATCAATCCATGGACAAATGATTTTTGTCCTTTAACATAATAAAAGCGTTACTAAACAGCTCCTATAGAAGATCATTCTTAGCTAGATAAATTGGAAATAATTCATATCAATGTTTACCATGTCAGATACTTTTGGACAACAATGGAACATCCTTCCTAGATTTTTAGATGTGCCTGGAGTTCTTATCACAGCAAATTCTTCACACCTACATGAAATTGGAAAGCTTCTGTCTCCTACATGAACATCACGCCTCATGTTTACACTCGACCCTGAATTTTTCCCAACAAAATTCATTAAGTTATGAATCAAAATTTACCCGAATTCTCGAATTATGACCTGCCGAGATATATTTCGAGAGGATTATTACCTGAATTCGCTGAGGAAACATTGTGATTCAATGATTTACTCATTCTGCTTTGTCTTTGCTATTATCGTTAAACCATAGCTGTTCTCCCCTAATTTCATCACGTCAAGCTCGGGGAAGAAGAAGATCTCTTCTTTATGTTTTGTTTTTTAACAACGACATTATTCAATTTTTTTTTTTTGCAATTATCAAAATGACGATATTTTGATTATTTTTTGTTCTTTAATATCAAAACGACGTCGTTTTGATTATTATGAACAAAAAAATAATCAAAACGACGACGTTTTGATAATTTCGAACAAAAAAAAATAAGTTAAACGACGTCGTTTTGATTACTGCAAAAAAAATCAAAACGACGATGTTTTGATAAATGCTAACAAAAAAAATTAAAACGACGACGTTTTATATTCCGGTGCCAACAGTACAATCGACGTGACAAGTGATTCTTCTCCGCTAACGGAATAGAACTGTTGATTAATGAAAAACGGGTCAATGCATATATTCACCAAAATTTTATTAGAACAGAAATAAAATATTTAATTTTTAAAGAGTTTAGATATGAATTCGACAATCAAATTTCTCAAATATATTTTTGCACTATTTGAAAAAGTTGAAATAAAAATCGGCCATTTTTCGATAAAAACAATAAAAATCTTCGAGTTTTCGAATTAAACCCTTTGACCAAACCCAAACCAAAGTCCTAAAACCGGACATATAGCCCTCCACACAAAAGCTCCGTAGGTCTAATCTAAAATCTAACCCCTAAGACCCTATCAAATCTCACGTGTCATGTGGTTACTGTCTGTGGGTCCCATGGGACCACGACAACCAATGAACTTGAACGTGATCTACTTTACTTGTACACCACAATCTTCTTCATGACCTTTTTACCTATCATGTTTTTTAGATATTTGGATTAATCATACTCCATATTTATAGGTGGTGATTTAATATTTTTTTATACTCCTTTCGTTTCACAAAGAATGTTGTTCTGACATTTTTCACACAAATTAATAAATAAAATAAAAGGTCTCTTATACCTTTATTAATTTGCAGAAATGACTTTTGGAATTACATTTATAACTAATTTTCTGAATTTATTTTTGAGGTTAAAAATAGTATTTTATGTCAAAATTTACATTGAAATTCTAAAACAACATTCTTTTTAAAACAAAAAAAAGTGTCAGAACGACACTCTTTATAAAACGGAGGAAGTATTATGCTATAATTCGTAAAATGAATAGCTTTAAAACCAAAGAAAAAAATGAATAACAAAACAAACGAGTTATGGATACGGAAAGGAGTATAGATACATGCATGTAGCTACACGTTTCGACGTTCGTGTATTGATTTCTTTTCCCTTGTTTAAGGGCTGCAATAAATACACTTATACACCCCATGAATAACTAATGGCTAATATTGATAGCTCTCTCTCTCAAAGGCAACTAATGCTTTTCTTTTTTAACAGCTATTGAAGGCAACTAATTCTATTCGGCCACCATCATTATTTTCGCTAAAATATTAATAACTAGATAATTCAGGTAAGTTTTCTAAAATATCAATATTTTATGATATTGCTTATCAAAAATATCATTATTTGCTACCATTTTTCATATGTTTTTACAAAGTCAGTTATTTAAATATAACTTTATAAACTTGTATAAAACATGTTAGTAAAGTACGAGTAAAAATTTATAAGGTTTTAAAAACGTACTTTATAAAATGCGTTTTAAGATTTTATAAATTTCATAAGATGGAAAAATATATGGATGATATATATTCCCAAAATGGTATTTCTTAAAAAATTCCGATAATACATTGTAGGTCCCGAAGTCTTCTTCACTCTGCACATCTTTGGAGAGTAAACTGAATGGCGCATTTCGTTGATAATATACATTATCAAATTTACATGTGTCGATTTCGCAAATCATATGTCATCGTTAACATAAAAAAACATATTAAACAAATTTGTTGGTGTCTATTGAAATAGCATCAACACCGTACCAATACAGTTTATTATTGTTACTGTATATATAACCTGGAGAATATTCCAATAATTTACACTTTCAACCTTGATATGTTTAATATAATTAAAAAATGTTTCATGTCATGTTTGACAAACAATGCTTTAACCAATAATTTGTTATTGAGTTTATATAATCTAATAGCATGTGCCTACATTAGTACATTGTATGATTTGAATGGTTAATAGATCAAGCCTTATCGACCCAAAATGTAACAAAAAAAAATGTTGAACCCAGAAATAGGTTGAGTCTTTTAAAAAGACTAGCTAACTAATTAATTCATTACTATACTATATTAAATAATTACGTAATTAAGTTCGGGCTATTGAATGTATTGGTATTACTGATATGTCTGTGTCGCATGCGCACTACTTGTAAAATTATCTCCCTTTTGGACATTAAAATCTCTTAGCTAGCATGTATGTTCTTTGTTGAATTGTAAGATCATCTCCAACCATAACATTAAATTTGGTGTTATGAATAGTGTAAAATTTGGTGTAAAAGTGAATAGTGTTTTTTTTCATCTCCAACCACAACACCAAATCTCACACTAAAACAATATATTATATTATTATATTATTAAATTTAAGATTCTCGTTTTTTCATAATTTTGATGAGTATTAATTATTCATAAAATAGATTAACTATAAATTTGATATAACATTATATTCGGTGATAAAAAAACAAAGATTACAATCAATAAAAAATAGTAGAAAATAAATTATATTATACTGATTTTCAGAATTATCATATTTTGTTTTTTTAAATGTTTTTTTGGTTTTAATTTAGTAATTTTATGTTGAAATGTTTAATTAAAATTTATTATAAATTTTTAATCTTAATTTATTTACATATTAATAAAAAATTTCGAGCAATTCTAAATTACAAGAATGGATCCTACACTCCTAAAATTAATATAATTTAATTAACTAGTAAACAATAATATAATTATATGAGTAAATGGAAAAAATAATATTTTAATGTTTGATGTTGTGAATAGTGTTATACCAAATTCAACACTATTTACAAAACACCAAAAAAAAATTTGGTGCAACATAACACCAAATTTGGTGTTTTGGTGCATAAGTAGTTCTATGTTTCTAACAAATTTACCTGTTTAAATGCATTGGATGCGTATTAGATCATTAAAAGAAAAACACAGATACGAGAAATTTGGATCCAAGAGTTCTTGTTCAAAGTACATTTCCTTATAGATATAAATAAAATAAACAAACTAAATTGAACCTTAGGTTCATAATCTATCCCATCGTATGTTCGGTTCATGATCATTTAAAAAACAGAGACTGGAGCATGTTAATTTGTCTACTTCCCATCGTATTTCTATGAGATTTTTTTAAAAAAATATATATATAACGAACATCTATTGAACACAATATTTTCTGTAAATTTAATGTACTTAGTTTGAATCTGGGGGTGAGTTAATGAGTTATCATAGAATGTACGAATCACTATCTCAAATTTTGTTGTGGTATACAGGAAACCTTAAAATATATCACGAACTTATACCAAACTAAAGAATATAGTAGTATCATAAAGAGAAAGCTATTATAAATCTGATATTCATAACTTCCTCGACATTTTCACTAGCGAATATGTACTAATGTTATAACATAACTTCATTTTCGTTTTTAAAAATGCTATGTATAACCCAAGAGATAGAAATGAAGAAGAATAAAATGGGCCATGGTAACTAAAATCCTGGGGTACACCGGAGAAGACTAAGAGACGGTCCAAAATGTAATTGGGAACCACGTGAATCTGATAGATATTTGATACTCCACTCAATTCTATATTTATTTCTATAGGACAAACCTCTAACCTTTTTCATACTAAAATCTCACTTCAAGTATACCCTTTCTTTCCTTTGCAACGTTTGGTAAAAAAGGCCTTAAAACTAATATCATAACAAATTTTAGAGATGCCTGCACCGCCTCGACAATTTAGGCTTAGTCTAATTATTTAAAGATGCTCGACCTGTTGTTTTTTTTTTTTGCTTTTAGTTGAACTTTTTGGCTCTGATTTTTGGAATTATTATTTCTAAAAAAAACTGAATAGAAACAGAATACTAGTCAGTTTAATATGCTATTATATCGACAATTTTTTAGCTATATATTATTTAAATACATTTTTATTTAAATTTTTGTGGTGATATAATAGATGTTGGATTTAGGACCAATGGTATGATAGCTCTGAGTTAACCAATTGGTTATTTAGGTTTTGATTGATAACAGTTTTGCAGAAAGCATAATTGTGGAATAGCGGAAATAATCTTACAGAATGAAATAAACTTAAAAATTTATTTTTCTGTCTTTTTTTTTATATTTTTGTTAAGCAAAAAACTAAAAACGCAAACGCAAACTGTATTTTTATATTTTATTTTCTATTCTATATTTTTTGTTAATTGGTAAAATACCTACAAAATTATATATAAAAATGCATTTCAGAGGTTATCAATCAAAGAATCAATTTCCTGCTTAATGGTTTTCTATTTGTATTTTTGTTAAGTAAAATTTCAAACTTTGTTTTCATGTTTTATTTTCTGATCTACAGTTTTTTGTTGAGTGGCAAAATATCTTAGAATTGTGTTTTAAAATACAATTCTGTTATTCTGTAGGTTACTAATCAAAACCAATAGATATAAAAGAATAGGATTAAACTTAAACTTCTACCTATATATTTTTTTTTTTTTTGGTAAGATGTTAAATATATTACCATTTTCGGGTTTTACACTGTACATGTTGGCGAGGCAACTTATTACAAAGAAAGTAAGGAGTAAAACGAGCTTAAGGAGGATAGAAGATGAAGCCAAAATACATCTGGAGGAGGGAAGCAGAGCTATCAGTTCTGGAAGGAAAAGAGAAAAGCCTGTCCCTGAGTTGGCGGTCGATAGACGACCAGATAGTGGCCAGCGACGACGAGAAGGCGGAGAATAGACGGGAGTTGCCCTCCTATATTTACATTTGTTTTTGGATAAGAATTAAATTTGCAAGTGGAGGTTACTTTTTTTGGTTCAGCAAATTGAGGTTACTAAACTTTAAACTTTTAACAAAACTGTTAAGTCATTTTCGTTGGTTAACATAACAAAGATGTTTTTACAAAAAGCAAATGAAATTCCTTTCGTTGGGTTTGAAGTTGAAATAGAGTCGTAGAGACATGTCTCACGTGGTATCCACATGTCTTTTATCTTTAAAAAGTTCATATTGCTTCCACTATAATTATTTTCTCCTTAATATCACCAAAGTAACCAAATATATTAAACTATTATTACATCTAAATATTTCAAATTTGTATTTAAAGAATAGAAATAAAAAAATGGGAAAATAATACCTATAAATTATGTGGTCTACGTGTTTTTTTTTTCTTTTGAATATTTTTTTGCGTAAGAGTTCTTTTAGAAACATGAAAAATATGATGTAACATGTCCGAGATCTTGATTGTGTTTCCGGTACCATTCTTTGTCTCCACCCAAAGCTATATGATATCTCTCACTCCCCCAATTATTACTATTATATTTTGTTTAGTTATTATTATTATTAAAATATTCGTCTTTGAGAAAAGCAAAAAAAAAAACGAAATAAAAAAATAAATAATATCTACAGTATAAAGAAAATAAAAACTTCGCCTCGTTCTTCTCCCTCTGTCTCTCTCTCTCTTCTACACTCTGAGCTCAAGCGATTACCTCCCATGGGAAAAATCTCTGAAGTGATTATTTAGCTCTTTTTTGTCGGTTCTGCATCCATTTTTATGGATCTTGGAGTTCGGTTTCAAGGGTCGGTTTCGGGTCATGAAAACGGGTCTCCGGTTCAATCAGAACTCGGATCTGGTTTTGGCAACAAGCAAGAAAGATCCGGTTTCGACGGTGAAGATTGCTGGAGAAGCTCGAAGCTTTCAAGAATATCAACAGATGGTTTCTCTTCCTCACCCGCTGCAACCAATAAAACTCTGTCGTTTCATCAAGGCATACCTCTCTTGAGATCTACCTCTATCGACCCTCGCAGACAAGAACATATGCTTAGCTTCTCCTCTGCTTCCGACAAATCAGATGTCTCGCCTTATCTTCAGTACTGTAGAAATTCAGGTCTGAATAAAAAGTACTCTGTTTTTTTCTTTTTACTTTTCATATGGGTTTTGCTTAGAGATTGATTTTAGTGAAATACTCTGTTTTTTTATTTTTTCTTACATTTATTTTCAATCTCAAGATATTTACTTTTCTTAAAATCAGCATATGGGTTTTGTTTAGAGCTGGATTTAGTGAAATGGGTTTTTGTCAAATTTTAAAAATCTTTAAATGGGTTTTGCTTAGAGCTGGATTTAGTGAAATGGGTTTATGTATTGAAATGTTGGGATATGGTTTTTGGGTTTGTGTTAGTGTCAGGATATGGTTTAGGAGGAATGATGAACACAAGCAGCATGCATGGAAGCTTGTTAACTGGAGTAAAAGGACCTTTTTCATTGACTCAATGGGCTGAGCTAGAGCAACAGGCGTTGATCTACAAATACATCACAGCCAATGTCCCTGTGCCATCTAGTTTACTCCTCTCTCTCAAGAAATCCTTTTTCCCTTATGGATCCTTGCCTCCTAATTCTTGTAAGCTCCCCCTTCTAATCTTGTTGTGCAAATAGTAGCATTTTAGGATATTGAACAATAGATTTGATTCCTTTTGTACTGTCAAAACACTAGCCAAGAATCAACTTAATGCTAGCCTCTCAAGTTGTTTATCTTTAGAACATTTAACATTCTTTAGGGATGTGTTTATTATAGATTCTTGTTGTGGTCCTTGTGGATGTTGTTATCTAATGGTTGTTTTAAGAGATGCTAAGAGCTTTTTGTGTGTCTGTGTGTTTATGTAGTTGGGTGGGGCTCTTTTCATCTGGGCTTTTCCGGCGGCAACATGGATCCCGAGCCAGGGAGATGTCGCCGGACAGATGGAAAGAAATGGCGGTGCTCGAGGGATGCTGTTCCCGACCAAAAGTACTGTGAACGACACATTAACCGAGGTCGCCATCGTTCAAGAAAGCCTGTGGAAGGCCAAAATGGCCACAATACTAATCCCGCCGCCGCTTCTACCGCCGCTGCTGCGTCCAAGGCGGCGGCGAATACGGTTGCTGCGATGCGTGGATCAGATAATAACAATAGCCTCACTGCCGTGGGAACTCAACATCATGCCAATCCTACAGATTCATTGGCTAACAGGTGAATAAATTCTAAGTCCTTTTTGATATAACATATTTGCATATTCCTAAGTTTTAATGTTCATACCTTATTTTTACTTTCTTTTTTTTTTTCTTTGGCCTAGAGTAAGTAGAGACCCACACATTATTACTACATCTTTTGTGATTGTGACAACTCCTTATTTAAATGAGGCTTAGGATTCCATGTTCTTGGATTTGCTTTTATGAACTATTCATTTACTCTTCTTTTCTTGATTCAATGATATTGTCCAAAAGTATATCTATTGTGAAAGTCTTAATGGTTGTTTGTTGCAATGACAGAGTTCAAAACTCTCGAGGAGGCTCGGTTTTTCCTGCCACGATGAACTTACAACCAAAAGATTCTCATCAGAAACAAAGCAATAACCCTTTTGAATTCGGACTCATCTCCTCTGATTCGTTACTTAACCCGTCAAATAAACAACAACCGTCTTACGCAAACTCGTCCAAAGGCTTTGGATCGTATCTTGACTTCAGCAACCAAGCAAAGCACTCGGAGAATCACAACAATGTCGATTCTTGGCCAGAAGAGCTGAAATCTGATTGGACTCAGCTCTCAATGTCAATCCCCATGACTCCATCTTCCCCTGTTCAAGATAAACTAGCTCTCTCGCCTTTAAGGCTATCTCGTGAGTTCGACCCTGCGATCCACATGGGATTAGGCGTCAACACTGAGTTTCTTGAGCCTGCTAAAAAGACGAATAACTGGATTCCTATCTCTTGGGGTAATAATAACTCCATGGGAGGTCCTCTCGGAGAGGTACTAAACAGCACGACGAATAGTCCCAAGTTTGGATCTTCTCCAACTGGTGTCTTGCAAAAGTCGGCTTTTGGTTCTCTTTCTAACAGTAGCTCGGGAAGCAGCGCCGTTCTTGGTGAGAACAACAACAAGAACGGCGATGGAAAGGATCCGCTTGGCCCGACACAACTGATGAACTCTTCCGCTACTGGTCCTTCTCTGTGAGATTGTATAACTAGGACGATGGCGAAAACAAACAAAAAACAGAACACTCTGTTTCTCTGTTTCTGTTTTATTACTTGGTGCATTGTTGTTGTTGTATTTCTTTTTATATAAAGCCAGAAGAAACTAAAGGAGAGATGAGAAGAGAGATGGGTTTTTTTTTCTTAGTCTTCTTCAAAGACCTGTTTCTTCTTTTGTCTTTCTGATTTCTGTATCCATGGATTTATTGGTTCTTAATCATCAGAATCTTGATTTTGTTGTACCTGTTCGAGCCATTGTGTTTGTATCAGTTACACTACTTGTAATGCACTTTGTTCCTAAAAAATAGGCTAAACCTTCTCCGAAAGTCTGATTAACGCTAAGCCAATTACTTCATCTACGTAAACTTCATCTAGTTTAGTTGTTTTCACTAACAATGATTTAGTGTTTTTTCTGCTATAATTTGATAAAGACTTAGAAAATAAATTTGTTTTTCAATGTAGCAATTGTGATGCTTTGAGATTTAAAGAGGTTTCCTAGTTGCAGACAAGAGGCAAGATTGTTTTGTGGATTAGACATGGAACATTTCTTCAAAACAACTGTCTCCCATTTTAGTTTTGCTCTGTTTCTCCACTTTTGGGTCCCTTAACTACTTTTTCCATTCTCTCTCTAACCCTACTTCACTTATTCCTGTTTTCATAAAAATTATAAAGAGTGGAGGACCAACCATCTTAATTTATGGATGGTCCATAAGTTTTTTTCATTTGGATTCTTTATACATTTTTGGAGATCTTGTTATAACACGTGGCATGTGTGGGTCGATTCAGACACTTGCCACTTGCACGAGACAAGACAACTCTTATCGAATAAATTTCTCACTCGATGCTTTTGGAAATTTAAATATTTCAGTTTCAGTATTTTCTAAATTCTAAAAGTGTATATTGTTGGAAAGAAGGTTAATGATGATTAGAGGAAAATATTTGAAGGACAGTGAAATTAAATTAGTGAGGCATGAATCTTCTAGCCCAATTAAATTAATCTAATGGGCTTAAAGAGACCCAAATAGGCAACAACAACAAAACTAAATCCATTATCTAAGTAACACTCTTTTTCATTTACACAGAGAGAGAGAGGATAGATCAAAAGAGGGAAAGAAATACTTCGCTTTGATCTGAATTTTTTTTTCTTCTAATTTTTTCATATCATTTGATGATCGCGTCTCCACTATTGCTGATTCTGGAGCTGTCTGAGAATCAGAATCTGTCTCATCTCCGAGAATCTTCGTCTGAGAATTTCTTGTTCCGACAAGAGCCGATTGTTGTACGTACTAATCTGTTCGATGTGGTACAAAAAGATTCGGAACCGGTTTTTGAGCTCCCGGTTTTCTAAACCAAGACGGTTTACTTCATCTTTTAAATTCTCAATGTGTCTCTGTTTACGCATCCTCGACCGCTTCGCTGATTCTCGGTTTGATTCCATCCGCTTCCTCTTACGGTCGTCGGTTGTCTGCGAAACCGGCCGGTTCAATTTCTTCCGGTTATGGTCTGTGGCTTTTATCCGGATTATCGTGTTTTCCGGGTTTAATTCTTCGGATTGAGGACTTGGTACGCCGTCAAAACATTCGGAATCATCAGAACCGGAATTTGTTTTGATAGAACCGGAGTTTGTTTTGACAGAACCGGAGTTTGTTTTGACGGAACCGATACAAGATTCATCAGAACCTGGTTTTATGTCGTGAAAACCGGTATTAGTTCTGACGGAACCGGTTTCGGATTCACCAGAACAAGGACTCAGTATAACCGGTTCGAGAGATGACTTGATCACAGAAAAGAGATCGGAGCAGTCAAAATCCCAAGGAGTAAATCCGGTTTGGAAATCGGATAACTGGTTAATAAAACCCGGTTCAGCAAAGGAAAAGGCCGGTACAGTAGACATCATAATGACCGGCTTTTTTTTTGCTAATGGAGAGAGTGAAGAGAAGGAGAAAAGGGAAGAATTGCATTGTAGGAGCTTCGAATTTATGGGCAAAATGATAAGGGTATTTCGGTAATTATACGATGTACGACCGTATTTTATACTGTATAAACAACTTTTGAGTCATGTGGCACTATGTGGGGTTTGTATTTTTTTAAACAACTTTTATAAAAGTAGAAAAATATTTTGTAGGACACCAATAGGCTCGTTTATAAGAAAGTAAAGTTAGATTAATTTTTGTTAACCAAATGTTTGTTATAGCTTAGTGATGAAGAAACAGTCCCATATTTAACACATGTGTTGTCCATTCATCTAATTTGTTGCCATGCATTTGAAAATAAAAAGTTAAATAGATAAGATAATTCTAGGCTCAAAAAGTATTATGTGTTGTTGGTTTGATTAGTGTGGTTGATGCGATTGATATGAAAGTTGAAACGATTGAACAAGCATTTTATTCAAAATGTTATACAGTAAACTAATATTAATGTTATAATGAATTAAATATACACTTATTGTATTTGAAAATAACTACTAAATACAATGTTGTTTTTTCAATTCTTTGCAATCTTTTTTTTTGCCTTATATTGTTCCAAGCGATTAATGATTCTAAATGAAACTCTAAGAATACTAATGTTCTGATGAGGACGAAAGTTGAGTGGAGTCTACGCAAATAGATATAAGTCCAAAAACACATTCATGATAAAATAAAATTGTGTACTCTAAAATTGTGTTATTCGGTTAGTTAGTTTATTCAAAATTAGAAGAAAATAAAAGTAACTTGAGAAAAACTATAGCAACGGCCACATGCAAATCCTCAAAAGTAAAGCAGAAATATATTAAGAAAACTTTTATCATATGGTTTGGTAGCATGTTAAATCAAACTTTAATGTCCACAAAGATGTATCAAATGCTTCCCATATTAACATTTAAATTTCAATAATGCCAACTTACTTTAATCAGAAAAAATAAAAACGCTGCTAATCTTACAGAATAAGTAGGTGAATCAGTATGTATTAATATTCTAAGGGTTAACATATATTTCTTAGTACAGTAAAACCTCTATAAATTAATAATGTTGGGACCATAAAATTTTATTTATTTATCGTGATATTAATTTATCTATAAATTAATAATTATTAATTTATAGAGATAATCTGTTTTTTGCCTATAATCTTCTAAAAAGTTCTTTTAAATAATGTTATATTTAAGAATTTAAACGAATATCTTATTAAAAATTATGATTAATAAACATATTTATTATAATAAAATAGTTTTTAATAACATATTAATTTATCTATTAAAAATATAGATGTTTACAAGTTCAAAATTTATAACAAACCGTGGCTATTATCAAAAAATGAAACTGAAGACAATATTACAATACATTTTTAAACATTTATATGTAAGAAAATCAATTATCACATCAAAAAATCTTCACAAATTTGAATGTATATCGAAAAACAACAACAAAAGATAGATATGCAATAAGTAAAAAGATAAACACCAATGAAATTTCAACTTTAAGTAAAAACAAATACTATTAGTCATATTTTAGTATATTATATTACATATATTTGCATAAATTTATACAATTATTAATTTATGTTTTTGTTAGGACCATATATTTACATAGGGGTTTCAAAAAAAATTATTATCTTATTATCTTATCGAATTTGATGAATGTTTACATTGGTCCGACTTGGGACTGGCAAAATTTATTATTTTATAGTGATTATTAATTTATAAAGTATTAATTTATAGAGGTTTTACTGTACATCAGCAATTAATCAAAAAGTAATAATAATAATTTTCTAATTCATTCTAAAAAGATCATTTAGATTGTTCTAATTACTTCAAAATAGTTGAAACCAGGTCATATATATTCTACTCAGTTTACCGTTCAAATCAATACATCACTTTTGTCTTTCATCCTATAAAACTCGAAGGGGTAAAAATTGATTGGAAAACATCATATCTACGTAAATCCTAGTAACAAGTTAGGTATTTTATGTTTGTCGATTGACATAAAGTTGGTTGTTGACCAAAAAAAAAAAAAAAAATAGTTGGTTAAAAACTTAAAACCTTAATGTCCAATCTATAAATTGTTGTTCCTAAAGCATAAAGCTTAGGCTAGAAGTCTGATGTTCGGAGTTTAAAAGTGGATGTAGGCCTGGAAAAAAAAAAATTGGGCTTAGACCATCTTCTATACATTAAACAGAAAGAATTTGGAAGCCATTTTGCTGAGGTGTCGCTCCCACAATTTTTTATACAGCATTTTTCATTTAAATAATTCATTATATTCCATCTATTATTATTTCCTTATTTACCTCCCTCCGCCAATTAGAATTTAATTTATTATTTACTAATTTTTTATTCGTTTCCTTATTTAGTTCAATTGACTTCTTTTAAAATTTTTTATTTATACAAACATCATTTTCATCTCATCTACCTTATTTTCAATACAAAACAAGTATATACTAATTTAAATTGTCAAAGCAATCGACTGATTAAAAAAAATTCAGTTAAATTATTACTATCTTTATTTTCTTTATTTTACTATTAATTGATAATATGAAGGACACAATTTTATTATTCTACATAATTACTATCATAAAAATTATATTCAGGAAATTGTCTACATAATTACTATCATAAAAATGAGGTATGTACAAATTTTATTATTCTACATAATTACTATCATAAAAATGAGGTATGTATTTATACAATTGATAATTATAATTATATATTCAGTCCAATATACATGATCCCATTTTCCCTCTTCATAAACTTCAAATCTTAGCTACAATATTGTTTACATTAATGTGTCAATATACGTGATCCCATAATCTCGGTTCATTTAATTTTAAAATTTAATAACCGTAATAATAAAGAAATCATAACTCCACCTTAAACTTTCCTCCGAATTTCTCGACACAATTAAATGATTAAGCATAAATGGAATCAATGTATGCATATTCCAAATTTATCAGTTAATGATTATATTACCTTCCTATATTATCGTAACCGTATCAATCTGAAATTATATAACCGAATTTTAAATCATTGTTTGGATATAGTCTAAATTTAACAATCCCTATATTTTCGATATATTTTAGTTGCACTTTACCTACCTAAATCAAAATATTCCGTATTCCGTATTTGTAAGAGTAATTAAACAAAATAGACCCTTTATGGAATATGAACAATATTACAAATTAAATATATCAAAAATTGCTTAAATCTATCAAATTTCAACGTCATTTCAAATTCAAATTCATAATTGACCGCCTACAATATTTTCCCTCTTCTAAAGATTGCATCGAAGATTTACCCTAGACTCACCACATTCGTTATTTCGCTATATATAGTTACCACTGTTGATATCGAATTCATCACTCCAGCTAAGCAATATTTAGCTTACATACTCCCTCTTGCAAAGTTTGCGATGTCGACCTTCACATCTCTCACTGCCCTAAAGCCATTCAAAACCCAATGGAAGATCCGTGTCAAGATACTGAAGTTGTGGAAACAGTATTTGAATGGGATCGAGACGATGGAGATGGTCGTTGTCGATGAACTGGTATTGTTTTATACTTTGTTTGTTCGTTATTCATACTGATCCATTTTCATCATATATATATTTTTTAACGTTTTGTTTATTATTATATTGCCATGCAGAATCAAACTATGCATGTTAGTATAAAGAAGCAGTTCATCAAAAAAATTGAAAATCTTCTAGAGGAAGGAACTACTAAGATCATCACTAATTTTCAAGTCACTCACAACGGTGGTAAGTTCAGGACTACCTCTCATGTTTACAAGATCCAGTTTGCTGCCACAACGTCTGTTAGACCTTCTGAAGATCTGGATGCCACAATTCTTGGGTTGAAGTTAGTGAACTTTGATGATATTCACGATGGCAAGTTGAATCCTGATTTTCTAATAGGTAAATGGTATATTTATATCTCGCATACATTATTAATATGAACCAAATCATATTACATCTAATTATTAGTTTATGTTTTTATTTTGCAGATATTGTTGGACAAATTGTTAGTATTGGTGAGGTTGAGATTCTCAACGTTAACAAAAAACAGACCAAACGTCTAACAATGACACTTCGTGACACAAGGTTTTTTAATTCCCTTTGACACCTAAATATTGTTAATAAGACGTCTAATATTTTTTGTTTTTTTAGTGATGTGCGCCTGAATTGTGTTCTCTGGGGAATTTATGCCGAAAGTTTGGAGAGTGTTGCTACACATGCAACTAATGCTATCATTTGTTTCGTGTTAAGAGTTGGAAAGTTAAGATTGTATCAAGGTACGAGACAAATGTTTTTTTGTTAACAAACAAAATATTGTTTTTTTAAAATATATATAACTTTCAAGACATTTCATATAATTAGGTGTATGGAGTATTGGCAATTGTTACAGTTCTTCCATTGTGATGACAGATCCTGATCTCCCTGAAATAAATTCTTTTAGAAACCGGTATATTCATATCTATAACTTTTATCAATTTTCCATTTAGTTTATTTTCATGTCACTAAAATCCAATATTTTTTTTTCTTTACAGCTTACCAAAAGATGATGTGACTTTATCATACACACACCCTAACCAATTGACCATTGTCAATTCTGTTTCTGTAAGAGATGATTTCTTCTTACATACCCCTCGCCGGACAATAAGTGAAATACTTGGTGCATCTGAGGTATTTATTTTGCGTGATATACATATTTCTTAAACAAACTATGGCGATTGGGTTTTTAAAAGAAAGTAATGCTTCAATTATTAGGTTGAAAAATGTGTGACTATGGCTACCATCTTAAATATATTTTATGTTATCATAATTATTATACTTTGCTAAAGATTACAATTTATGCGATCTAAATGATCTTATAAATTGAATACAATCGTTCATTTATAAATTTACTTTATTAACAACTTTGTAATTTAATTTAATTTTAGTAATAACGATGTAACCACTAAAAAATAATTAATAAGTTAGTTAATAATGGATTTATATTAAATTATTTTGCTATATAATTAATAGAGATATTTGTTCCTGTTGTTCTTACTTGCTATATCTCCAATTCTTTGTCTCCTTATATTTCAGGATTTGGGAAATATAATGATTAGATTTCCGGAAGAATTTAGATATGATAGTAATATTATTAGAAACTTTATGTTTAGGGTTCAGCATTCCTTAAATTAATCATTGTTAATATTTGATTGCATATTCTATAATGATCTTTTTTTAGTTACGCGAGATAACACATATATGCAAGGAGAACGAAACAAATCATTTTTTTTTAAATTACGAATACGACTTCCATATATTTGTCATATTACTTATTTAAAGTTGCACAAAATATACATTAATATTTAATTCTATAATCTGTTAAATATATCGTAACAACTTCAACCAAACTATGGAAATATTCTTAAACAATATAGATAATCGTTATTTATGCCATCTAAGATATAACTAACTAACAAGATACATATTCCAAAAATCACTGACTGTTGCAAATTTTTTTACAATTCTTCGTATATACGCAAATAATTTTGTGACGTCATAACCTTAATTTACTAACATACTCCTATATAAACCTTTGCTGCAAACCATTTTATTCATCTTTAATCGGAAACTCAAACAAAATGCGTGAATACCAAATGGTGCATGAGTTACAATCTTGGGAGGATGGTTGGACAATTAAGGTGAAGATTTTAAAGAGATGGGGGGCCTTTGATGCCGACGGTCTTCGTGTGATGAATTTCATATTGGTTGATGAGAATGTAAGTTTGATACTCATCTCTATCAATTTTTATCTTATTAGTACTTCATATCGTTTTGCTACTAATGTTTTATATCAATTACCCTAACAGGGTTGCAGAATTTCTGCCTACGTTGGTAACCTCAATCTATCCTATTTCGAATACGTTTTGCAAGAAGGAAATTGGGTGTAGTTATCCAAATTCAAACTAATTCCTTCTAAGTGGGAAGAACGGACTACAAGACACGTTAAGCAAATAATTTTAGATGGTGAAACTAAGGTCAGTTCCATCCGACCTTTGACTGGAGATCCTTTCCTTTGTTTTGTTGATTTCAGCCGTGTTTACAATAAGCCTTACAGCCACTTATACCCAGTTGGTAAGTATTAGCATTTATCTTTATTAATTATGTATTTAACTATGTTAGTGTTATCGACTATAGTATTGTATGTTTGATTGTGTAAAATTGATCAGTTGTTGTACTACAATATTTTGTAATCCAGATTTCATTGGTGTTCTGGATCATGTCGAAAATATGGTAATAGTTGTTTATCCCGATGACAAAAGTGTTCCAACACTGAGATTCTGAATTAAAGATCTGGAGTAAGTAATATAATGGTTTCATTTTTTTATATCATTATTTGAGATACAATATAATCATAATAATTATAATGTGTAGGAATTGTACTCTTAACTGTGTTGCACATGATGACTTGGCTTACGAGATAGAAGAGAAATGCAAAGATCCTGTAGGGAAGAGTCCATTTGCTATTTGTGTCTTAACTGATTGGTTGGTTAAGAAAAACATTGGTGCGTTTGTATGATTTTCATATTTATAAGACAACCTTATACACATTCAAAACTTGATGACCTTATCTTATTTATATATTAGATGAAATGACAATTGAAAATTACAAGGAGGGATCGCTTTCACGTTTTGCTATTGCTCCACCATTGGATGAAGTCAAAAGCTTTGGGATCAATTAATAAATGTTATTAACATTCAATAGTTTTAGATTATGATTTTTTTTACTGACTAATTACATGAAAAATATTCTTCTCAGGCTTGCAAAGAAGATAACGGAAGTATACGTGAGTGCTTCAAGTTCTCAAGGAATAAAGGATTGGGATTTATGTTATGCTATCTTATATTTTATATTCTATTTTATATTTTGTTATGAGTGGTGTTCTCCTAAGTTTGTTTTATTAACACTTTGTTTCTCTTCCTACCATATTTAATTTGATTTCAATAAAGTGTATTATTTGGATATTAATTTTTTGCATTATTTGTTAGTCATATATTTTGCCTTTTTATTCGCTAATGAGTAGTAGAAATTTTAAATAGACATGTATTACCAATCCTTAACATGCAACCAACTTAAACAAGTTTTTTCTGTTATATTACACAGTTTATATATATCGTTGTACTTCTATATAAATAGTACTACCATATCATCAATAAAAAAAAATCACTTAGATATAATCAAAAATAATATATGAATTTATTAATGGATATTTAGTTTCTAAATTTGAAACTATAAATATAGTTTCCTGATATTAGAAAACATCCATGCGAGATATTCGGTTTCCATTAGACATATTAATCTAACTGTATTACTATAAACCTAAAGCCTCCTATATATATTGGATTTTGCAGTTGTCTAAAACCTAGATACCACATCATACCCTTTCACCATGGAACTCTATCACCGAGTTTCTGATTTGCATTCATGGAGATCGGACTGGAAAATCAAAATATTGGTTTTAAAAAAATGGGAAACTCTTGGTCCACAAGGAATTGAAGGTTTGGAATTTATTCTGGTGGATGAAGAAGTAAGTTATTATTATTTATTTCATAGTAGTATTATTTTTCATAAACATCTTAATATATTGATACTGAACTCTTCAGGGATGCAAGATTCATGCTTCGATGACTAATCCTGTGTTGGTCACGTATTATGATCAAGCTTTGCAAGAAGGACAGTGGAATACTCTACATGATTTTGTTGTAAATGATTCATTTTGGTTTCAGAAAACAACTCATCATAAATGGAGGATTTTTCTACTTCAGAATACTACTGTCAAAAGGCTATATGAAATCCACACCGATACTCAATTTATGTCTTTCTCAGAGTTTGAGGATATTTTGGATGAGACTATTGATCATAAGTATCCTATTGGTATTTCATATTTGTCTTATATAATTCTCATTGATTTTCAATTTAAAATCTTTTAAACATCTTTTGATACTTTATGTGATATTAGATTTACTTGGTGCTGTTGTCCACGTTGGACGACTTACAAGGATTAAGGATTACAGACTAGATTGTGATTTTTGTAGATACTATAGTCGACTACGGTTTACGTTGAGAAATCTCAAGTAAATATTTGAATCGTTACCCATTTAATTGTATGTTATTAAGATAATAATATATTTTGTTAATATATTGTAGGAATGTTGAAATTAGTTGTGTTGCTTATGGTAACTTGGCTGATGATTTCCAATCACAATGGTGGTCTGCCTGTGGTTCTAATATAACATGTGTACTGACAGACTGGCGTATAGCTTACAACAATGGTTTGTTACTAACTAAGTTTTTAACATTTAATCATGATAACAGTAGTTATTATTGTTAGATCAAATATTAACTATACGTAAAATCTATGTTTTAGGGACATTGACTGTTTCGGATGCAAGAGGGATGTCAAGGTTTCTTTTTGATCCCCATATTGTTGAAGTTGACAAGTTCAAAGATAAATAAGTACTATATAAATATTTAATATTTTTCTAAATATCAGTAATAACATATCTGTATATAATTATTTAGGTACTTCAAATCCAATAAGACGGAGAACAATGACATTGAGATTAAAGACTAATCTCATATATCATATTCACCTATTAATTATGGTTAGAGGTTCAATTATTCATGTCGTTGAGCTACAAAGGTGACCAAGTGAAGTAGTCAACGTTTTAATTCTATGAACTTATGTCAAATTCAGGATTTATTAATAAGATAGATTGCTTTCATTATTCTCTATAGATGTTTGCTCATTACGATATATATATGTATATATATTCGTCTAATACTATATACGTTTATATTATGTAGACAACATAGAAAGTTTAAATAATATCATCCTCAATTATAAATAGCCAAAACCATACCAAGTTAATATACATTCAAGTAATGTGACAGATATATAAAATTGCTCTTATAACCTAACTATTAACCAAAACCATACCAAGTTAATATACATTCACTGACTGTTCTTATACCAAAATATAATATTAATATTAATAGTCGAATACATTAATTCTGTTTTTCTTTTCATCATACACTTCAATTTATTTGGTCATTTTTCTTATAATTAGCATAATATATATATATATTTATGAATGAAATTCGAAATCGGTTAAATTCATTCATTATGTATATTACAAAAATGGAAACTATTAAAAACAAAAAAAATACTAAACAAATCAATAAATTGTTAGTCACATATATCAAGTCCATTTATCATATATTAATATGGTACTAACATAAATAAACACTTAAAATAAATTCTGTTTCAAATACAAAAAAATGCGCAATTAATCAAATATCACTCAACATCCTGTATACATACATTATATTAATTTATGATTTCGGTATAAAAGATAACATTCATCCCGTGCACAGCACGGATACTATCCTAGTTAATCTTAAAAAATAAAAAGTTATAAAGAAAGTATATTTATTTTGATTTATATTTTTTATTTTTTTTTGCTATTTTTTTTTGTTTATTTTTGGATGAACCAGACCAAAACCTTTTTTTTGGCTAAGACGATACATTTTTATCACTTCTTATATTGTAAATAATTATATACAATGGAAAATATTAGTGTATAATCTCAACTAAGTTGTTGTAAATTGTCAGAAGTGTAAGATGCTTCTTTTTTTAATATGTTTGCGATGGCCTCGAGTATTGCTCGTTAATTTTTTTTGTTCTGGGACACGACATTTTTTGGATAAACTATTGTAAATTTGTAACACATAAATCTTGGATGGATACTATACTTATGAGTATTTATTTCGCTTTGCATGGTTCATTATGGATGTCCGATTTTCCGAATAGAGGAAAAATGGCTAATCAAAACGAATCTAACTATAAGAAAGAGCTGAGAGAGAGTAATAAAAAGAATGAATGAACTACATATTATCTGTTACCTTCTCACTTAACTGCAAATATGTCAGTATCTGCTCAGCGGTATAGACTGGTTATATGGTCAACTCCCGAATACCGAATCTAAACCAGCTACATGAACTTTGTGAACCGTAAATTGAGCATTCATTTTTCTCATGAATTTGGCTTTAAAACATGTATTTTTAAAAACCAACCAGATCTTCTTTCACCAATTTTTTAAAACATTAATTATTCGATGAACTACAAAATTTATTTTCTAATGACTAACTGTAAGAGGTTTTGGACAGAGGTTTGTACATATACCTTGTCTAAGATTAGAGCAATATGAAAATTGAAATATTGTATAATATTTTTATAAAGCATTCATGGAATTTAAGCTTTTAACCGTTATAAGTTACTAAATACGATTCATAATGTTTTATTCAATAATTTTATATTGCATAATTGTGATTACAAATCAGAACTTTTATTGATAGTTAGAACTTAGGACCATAAGTTCGATTTATAAGAGATATTTTTTCTTTTCTAGAATCATTTTATTTTGTAATAGTTGATATTAGCTTATCGTACATAAATAAAATAAAATAAGAAAAGAGAGAAAAGAACACTCAAGAAATGCAAGGATAAATGCAAAGACATCTCAAGATTTCGTTGCATTGGCCAGTTCCCTTCCATTTTTGTCGGCACAGAGCCTCACAACTGCCAAGGGCACAATCTATTTCAGTTAAAACCTCATGACAAAGTTGGCCTTGAATCTCATTCACCACCATACCTATAATATGTTAAAAAACATAAATAATCAATTTTTAAATAAAAATTCACGATCTCAAAATAGAATTAGAGAAACAGAAGAACCTAGAATGAGAATGAAGAGGACAGCATAAATGGTGGGTTGAGCCATTTCTTGTGATAATTGGACTTTTTAAATTACAAAACAATATCAGACACACACACACACATATATATATATATATATATATGATAATGTGTTATCTCATATAACATATATATACATATATATATATAATTAAAATAACAATTTAGTCAAATATAGGTAAATGCAGTGTAAAAAAAAAACTATAGTTAGATACAAATCAAGTCAAATAAAATAAAATAGAAAAAAAATCTTAGATATTTAATGATGAATTTTAGTTAGTAACACAATAGTTTATACATTCTATACCTTATAAAAATGTATATCTAATTCGCCTATTAAATTTTAATAATTTCAATAAAATGAAATCATTGATAATAATATAAAAATATTTTATAATTAGTTACCAATTTAACATAAACTGAAAATTAGTAAATGATTACAAATCTAAAGATACGATTAACTATTTTCCTTGATCAAGTTAATCTTATTCTCTGCAGTAACTTTCCATTTTAAAAAATTTGATTTACCTTTTATTATTAGTGTTAGATCCGAAAATAAAAATTTAGATTTAGAGCGATAAAAAATGAAAGAAATAATATATGTAGAACTTATGATGTGGCTAATTGTATAGTTTGACTATAATTTTTACATGTTTAATGATGAACTATCGACTAAGCAAAAGATGATACATCGATAACATTTAAAAAACTGTAATCTCTATTTCTTATTTATCTTATAACTTAAGTAGTGTGATCACGCCATCTGGTCTAAAAACAACAAGCTCTTTCCAAGACTACAACTAGTACTGTTCAACCTATGTGTTATGTAAGTGATACATTCGGTCTATATGTTTGATCTTAAAATTGTAACATGCTTTTCTAGGAGTCGAAAAAGCAAAAATGAAAAGGAATCAATAAAACCATTATAAAAGTCAAGCGAATTCTGTTACAATCTTACAATATAAGAGAAGATATATATGACAAGTTTACACACCGACTAAGGATATCAATATAAATTAAATACCCCCAAGTCTCTAATAACACGCTTTTGAGTTTGGTGCGTTCCAAAACGGATGTTAACACCAAATCATGTACATGGGGGACGTATCGTATTTATCTTAGGGAATTCAACTATCCAAGCATTCACAAATATGGTAAACCAACTGTAGATATGATCCGGAATTGCTGTTATTAAGGAAAAACAGAACTATAAATAATCTTAATTTAACCATAATCTGACTTTAGTTCTTTAGTTCCAAGGTCAGACTTCAGACTCTTGTGCTGGCATATCAACAATATATCTATTTTTTATTTGTTGTCAAATGATATTTTGCTTATATGTATGAGTTGAATAAATTAAAATTGGACGTGGTGCTTTTAAGAAGTGGAGGATTATCACTCTAGTCTTGATAGTCCCACACGTTTCATACACGCTGCGACTATATTTTTATTTCATTTCTTATGGGGTTGGTCCAATTCCATCACTATGCACAAGTGTGAAAGAATATTATTTTCTTCCACTCCCAATCTTATCGGTCAAATGAGTCCACCACAAACTCCATAATTAGACTCGCTTTTTCTTGTCCATTAAACAAAATTTGTGTTTGTCAACGTCAGATAAATATCCCATTTTTCGGCTCTAGCTATAAAGAATAATTAAGACAAAACAAAAACACAAAAATAGAATTGACCAAATTTAGGCTATATATATCGAGTTTCAAAGATGCCAAAACCCGTCAAGTCATCTTTTTTACGAATCTCTCTCTCCCCTGAAAGAAAATACTTCACAGAAATGGCTAACTTCTCCGCTCTGCTTACGATAGCTCTCCTCCTTTGCTCCACGCTAATGTGCACCGCCCGTCCGGACCCGGCCTTGTCCGCCTCTATCACGATTATTGATCAAGCCGACCCATGTAACATGGTTAGTCTGATTCACCACACTCAGTTTCCTTAAATATCTATTCATAAACACAAACATATATGCATGTTTATATTCATGTAGTAATCAAGACGAAAATGTATAGAATTTTGTTGACACTGTACGTAGTTTGAAATGTCCTAATGTATGATTGATTTAGCAGGAAAAGAAGATTGAAGGAAAAATGGATGAAGAAGAGAACTGTAGTGCAGACGACGAAGATTGCTTAATGAGGAGGTCTTTGGTTGCTCATGTTGATTACATCTACACCCAGAAGCAGAAGAAGCATTAATCTTTGTCTTTTCACTAAATTTACTATAATTTTGTTTCTAACCAATTACTGTTAAAGGTTATGTAATTCACGTTTGTGAATCATAATCCTTAATTAGTATTAGTCTCTCATATTTAGAACATATCATGATTTTTATAGTCGTGATGATCACATAATTACAGTTACGACATATAGCCAAAGATTTGTTCAATTCAGACTACAGAGTATGTCTACAACTATATAATTAAAGGTGGATTAGTGAAAACATGTTATGGTATTAAACTCTCCAAACAAAATGTCTAACTATCTCAATAACCAATAAAATCTACAAAACTAATGTTGATTTAGCCGATTCAAACATAACACAAAGTGTTAAGTTGACTAACGAGCTAAATTTTAATCAAAGCCAAATAAATGTTAATGTTCGACCAAAAAAAAATGTTAGCTTTGGGAAGTTTTTTGGTTAATGAAACATTAATTTTTTTTTCCTCGCACAACCAAAGGAAAGTGAAAGCCTCTGGCTGAAACAGCAGGAAGTCTCTTCGTCTTAAACTCAAAAACCCTATCCTCATTCTCTAAACCCAAAAGAACACAGAGCTCTGCAAAAACACACAAAAATGAGGCTTCTCCGATGTCGATCCTTGATAAATCTCGCTCCTTTATTACCTTCACAGTTCAAATTTCACAAATTCCACCCAACCCGATTCTTCTTTACTCCCAATTCCATCTCTATCCCACAAATCTCAGCTTCTTCTCTCCCCACGAACACCAAATCAACGACGAACCGTTCGATTTCCGATTCTGCTCGCTTCGCTCGCTCCGTCTTGTTCGTGCCTCCCGGTGTTGAAATCGAGGAGCTAACGGATGATATGGTGCTTCCGGGCTCCAATATAGTAATCGGACCTTTCGCGGATCATTCACAGATCAAAGAAGTCGAATTCGTCAAGAGCAGTGCTCGAGCTAGAGACTGTCCTAAAGATGATCGTCCAGAGATTGCGATTCTAGGTCGTTCTAATGTCGGAAAATCCTCGCTTATCAATTGCTTGGTCCGGAAGAAGGAAGTCGCTCTCACTTCCAAGAAACCTGGTCTGATTCTTTTAAAAAGCTTTGGAAAAATTTCCATTTTTAAGTTTTGAAACTCGAAAAGTTACAATTTTTTCTCTCTTTGAAAAACAGGGAAGACTCAGCTTATAAATCACTTCTTGGTGAATAAGAGTTGGTACATTGTGGATTTGCCTGGTTATGGGTATGTAATGTTTAAATAATCCTCACAAAGCCAAAAAAATGGTTCTTGTTTTGAATATTGAGGTTTTGTGTTTGTGATCATTTTTGCAGATTTGCTAAAGTTTCAGATGCTGCGAAAACGGATTGGTCTGCGTTTACTAAAGGTTACTTCTTGAATAGAGATACACTTGTTTGCGTGCTTCTTCTGATCGATGCAAGTGTTCCTCCTCAGAAGATTGATCTTGATTGTGCGAATTGGCTCGGTCGCAACAATGTATGTGCTTTTGTGTGTTACAAAGTCTCAGTATGTTATGCGTTGAGGAGTTCTTGATTTGTAGCGTTTGTTTGATGTTTCAGGTACCAATGACTTTTGTGTTTACTAAATGCGACAAAATGAAAGCTGCGAAAGGGAAAAGACCTGATGAGAACATTAAAGCTTTCCAACAAATCATTAGAGAGAATTTTAAGCAACATCCTCCTTGGATTTTGACGAGTAGTGTATCCGGTTTAGGCAGAGACGAGCTTCTCCTTCACATGTCTCAGCTGAGAAACTACTGGGATCAGTAGGAGCTGTTATAATGAAAAAAGGTCTCTTTGAAATGGCGTTTTTGTAATGTAACAGTAACAACAAGTTTGTATACATAACAATGTTTCAAATGGTGATATTGAAAGAGACAAAGAGTTATAACAAATCTCATATACAAGTCTCTCTAATTTCAAAGAATTTGCTATTCTTTTTTGCTACCATCTTGAAAGATTTGCTGGACTGAGAAGAGGGAAAGCTTCCCAGAATCGAGATGATGATGGTGACAGATCAAACGCGAATGGATTCTCATTAGCTGTTGTTTCATCAGAAATCTTGAGTGGTTTAGCCTCTGTTTGATGTACCTCTGGCTCGTGGTCTTGTGCACCGGTTAACCTCTGAACCAACTCCTTGAAGTTAACAGGCTCGACTCGGTAAACTCTAGGATGCATCCGTTGAAGTGAAGCTGTTACGGGTTTTTTCCATGGCTTTGCAGGTTGCTTCCGGATCGAATGGTAGTTTTCAGATGATCTGAGATAATTCTGAGAGAATCTTGGCTGTGAAGTAGCTTCCATGGCGATTAGAACTTTCTTTACAGACAAAGATTGCTTAGGATTTGAAGCTAAGTATGTCTTGTGTGTGTACATGTATTTATATGTATATGTGTGTGTGTGCGTGTTGCATATATGTCAACGTTTTTGCAGCGTGGGTCAAAGCGTTTATTGATCTTCTTTTGCGGCTTATTCGGTTTTGACCTTTAGGGGAATAAACATGTGGTTTTTTTTGGGAATGGGATGATTCATGGAATTGAAATTTCAACATGCGTGTGCTTAATTGTTTTTTGTCTTTGTTATATCACTACGTTAGGTGGAAAAGCAATGTGAACAAGCTTTTTAGTTTTAAGTTTTAACGTGTACTTCTCATATTTGGAAAAAAATATCAAGATAACATATCTACTTTTTTTTTGGCCAAAAGATGATATATCTACTTGGTCAGTAAAATTTTTATAGCAAACTACAGTAGAAACTCTATAAATTAATACTCGATAAATTAATAAACATTATAAATTAATAATTTTTCATGGTCTCAAATTGGGCCAATTCAAAATATGACATAATTCGATAAGATAATAAAATAATAACTTTTAACAAAACTTTTATGTAAATATATGGTCCCATTATTATCATAAATTAATAATTACCATAAATAAAATTTGATATAAACATATAAGTGAGATAATCTACCAAAATATGAGTTTAGTGATGTTTTTTAATTATTTTAAATTGAAATCTTCTTAGAACTCTTTTTTAATTTTTGAAAGAATTTTTTAAATATTATAAATTTCAAAGAAAATCTCTTTCAGAATTTAAAATTAATAAAGAATATTTTTATTTAAAATCTATAAATTAATAACTCTATAAATTAATAAAATATCAAAGTCCCAACATTATTAATTTATAGAGTTTTTACTGTAAGTACATAAATATACAGTTTCTACCACATAATTTTTATTGCAAATTACATCAAATTATAACAATTATCATAAATCAAATTTAAATTACATGTTACTACTCAAAATCTTAGTCATAATTACATCAATTTTGGATGATTAGTTCTAAATGAACTTCATTTGATTCATTATATATATTAGGTGAGTACCCGCGCAATGCGCAGATGGCTTACGTTAATTTTTTTAATTTTAATTTTATTTTTTTATCATTTTACAATTTATTTTGTAATATTATATTTAAATGAGTTATTACTTGGAATCATGATATTTTTATAAGTACTATAATTTTTGGTCAAATCGTGTATATAATAATGTATTATATATGATTTTAGATTTTCTGATATTTGGTTTTTGAGTTTGTATTTGATATTTGGTTCCTATTTAATTGCAAATAGGTTGTATTCTCTTATACTTTTATAATATAAAAATATTATTTCGAATTGGTTTATAGTATTTTGGATGATTTAACTTAGTATTTGTTCAATAATGTATATAATGATGTGTTATATATGATTTCAGATTTGCTGCATGATATTTGGTTTTTGAGTTGGTATCTTTTATTCTTTGTTTTTCTTTTCTCATTTGATTGCAAGTAAATTGTATTTTTTTATACTTTTAAAATATAAAAAAGTTATCTCGAACTGATTTATGGTATACGTGATAATTTAATTTAGTATGTTTTAATAGTTTAAGTGGTGTTTCGTATAAGTGGTGTTTCGTATAAGTGGTATTTTTTAGAACATAAACTCAAATCAATTCTTGTCTTGATAAAATATATAATTTTTGATTCTTTCGAATATTCTCTTCTATTACTTTGTTATTTTTTTCTATTTTTTATTTCTTCCATCAGCTAAAAATTTCTTTCGCTTGCTATTCTCTTTCCAATAAATACTTTCCAATAAATACTCTGTTGTTTTTGGTGTAGTATATTTCTCCTATATAGATACTTGTCGTTTCAGGAATGTAGAGCAAGGAAACAAAACATAGGAAGCAAACCATATATATCTCTCAATTAAATTGTGTCTTCATTGGGAAATTTTGTGTTAGTTTAATATGTTTTTATAATCTGTAAACTTAAAATCCCTTTTAAGTAATCTTTTTCTTTTATGTTTTATGATTGAAAATCTGCTCTAAAACTTTTGCTGATTGCTTGTAGTATGCAGAGGCAACATGTATTCAAAAATGACATACGCTCAGAACATTACCATCCAAGATTATATATTTGAACAGCTCTTTACGTAAGTAAGTTCATTCTCTCCCAACAGTTTCTAAAGACATTACAAAGTGTCTAGCTAATACTATTACTACAATCAGTCCATCTTTCGATAGATTACCTTTACTGCTGCTCAGCTGAGTTCTCTTCTTCTCGGCGCTTTTGCTTAGTCTTTCTCCAATCGATCTAATACTTGGAGTTCTTGGTATAGTTTCTAAACCCAAAGAGATATTGAACACATAATTCTGAGATGTCTGAGTGACATCATGAAAAATAACCTGCATTTTTTTATATACTACACATCATTCTATAGTAAACAGCAACTAAGGAAGACAGGTCAAGGCACTGTCAGTAGCAAGAACAACTCAAACTGCTTTTAGGGATTCTAATTTTAGAAAGTATTTACTCACAGTAGTATACTGCACCAGAACCATCAGTTGTTCAACAACTAACACAGCGTCTTCATTCAACTGCCTTTGAGGTGTTAATTCTTTGCTGATCCAAAGAACCAAAGAAAGGAAAGCTACAAGGCACACAAAGATTTCGTATAAAAGCCACCTGTCGAAGTAGCACTGTAAATTAATTACAAACGGTGCAAGATTGTTTCTTGCTGCAGCTGGTTAATCTAGACCGGGCCGGTGCAAGGTCCGTGAGGGTGCCTTCATATCTTCCTTCAAATGCTACAAAAATATCATTTTTTGATGAAAACACATACAATACATGAGATTTCTGTTGCGCAAATAACCAGCTTTCCCTGAGCCTAAACGAAAAATGTCAAAGTTTCGTCACACTCAGAGGAGATTTTATGTTAGAAGGAAAACACACTTACGTAGAGGACTGTAGAGTATATATCCATTCCCTCTAAGCTGTAAGGAGAAGCCTGGCGAGCTAGTGAGAATGCTTTTTCAGCTTCTAAATAATCTATTAATTCAAAGTATGCTTTCCCAACCTGCATTAATAGCCATTGCTCGTACATAAACCATAAAAATGCCTTAAACAATGTGTATCACAGGCAACCAGATTAAAATTTCATGCACAGATTCTCTGTGGAAACTTCACTTCAAGTTCGTCGTTTTGAAAAGTCTATACACAACCACCAAACTGAACAAGACAGCATAAAAGAGAGAAGGGTCACTTACTACCTGGGAAAGAACCCATCCTGTATTATAATGCCTATGTGGAAGTTTCATATACGTATCCAGTGCCTCCTGAAACAGCCAAAAGCACAAGGAAGAGAATGAAATAATCTTATATAAGTGAACATGACCTTTGTATTATTTAAGAAAGCAACAATATGCTTACCTTACACCTGTACATGTACAAAAGTCTACACAGTTCCCCAAGTGTCCTAAGGAGGCTAACTAATTCTGAAACACCAACTGTGATTTTTTGTGCACATAACGTTGTGCCACCAATTGACATTGTTTCGTCTTCTTGATCACAGGATTTAGCATCACTGGAAGCCATAGAACCAGTCGTTGAGGCAGTATTAGGCCTTGAATCATCAAAAGATTCCCCACGAACTCCTAAACCAATCAGAATGACAACGCTTATGTTGTTACATAGACACAAACAATAAAAAAAAGGAATGATGAACAAAAATCACAGCAACCCAATTTTGAAGCAATAAGATGATATAGTGCATGAAATGTCACAACCTTCATCTATATTTTCATTTGCCCAGGAATGTCCCTTCCCAAGTGTTACAGAACGAAGTGCCAAAGAACTCAATTTAGAACCCCTAGCGTTGTTCCCATTTCGCTTACTGTTGCAACACTTGCATTAGTGTTTGCCCATGAATCAGCAGAAAGTCTCGAACTCCGTCGTGGACCAGAATCAGAAAAAAAAGCCTGCCAGAAATATGCAGAGGAAAGAAACATACACCCATAGTAAGAGAAAATTCAACTCATGTAAGAATCAGAATATTACACAGAAAAGTCAAGACAAGCTAATTCAGAATTGTGTCTTAATTACAACGAATACAGTACAGATATGTGAATACTACCTTACATAGCTTTCCTTGATCTACAATTATTCTTCGCGGTGCTTATTTGGAAGAGTTTACTGTGGACTTTGGTGAATTGTCAGTAATAAGGGAGTTTTGGTTTGGAACAGCCCGCTGAAAATTCCGGAAAAGTACCGGATAGCTACAACATGAAAAATATAAAAATCTCACACCTTGAAGTGAAGTTTCCAAACCCCAATTAATCGTGAAACCCTAATTAAGTATACATTTATAAAAAATTTATATCAGGTTCCCGAATCCAACCCAAACTTTGAAGAACAGAGGAATCTGGAGTTTGATTTTGACCTGGATTTTCTTGAACTGATAATGAAACGGTACGTACAGTCGTAGATACTCTTCATCTTCCCCATCTCCATACGGGACCTCGCGCTGGCTCGAAAACGATTTCGATTCTTTCCAAGCTTCGTGCAACCTCGGAATCTTAGAAGGGTGACAGTTTAGCTCAGTCAGATTAGAGGCCGCCGTGATCGGAACCTTAGAAGACCTTGTCAAGGAAACTCGCAAGGAATGGGAAAGGAACGACGTTTTTAACGGAAGATTTTCGTAACAGTTTTTTTTAATATTAATATTTCAAGTGGACACGTGTTAAACTCTCTCATCACAAATGTGATGACATGTCAACAGGATAGAGAGAGTTCAACATTTCACCAAATTTGGTATCATGAATTTGGTGTGAAAGTGAATAGTATTTTTTTTCATCTTCAACCACAACACCAAATCTCACACTAAAAACAATCTTTTATATTATTATATTATTAAATTTAAGATTCTCTTTATTTTTCATATTTTGATGAGTACTTATTATTCATAAAATAGATTAATTATAAATTTGTTATAACATTATATTTGATGATAAAAAAACAAAAATTACAATCAATAAAAAAAAATTTATTATGAATTTTTAATCTTAATTTATTTATATATTAATAACAAAATTTTGTGCAATTCTAAATTACAAGAATGGATCCTATATTCTTAAAACCAATATAATTTAATTAATTAATAAATAATAATATAATTATTTGAATAAATGAGAAAAAAATAATATTTTAATGTTTGGTGTTGTGAATAGTGTTGCACTAAATTTGGTGCAATACTATTCACAAAACACCAAAAAAAAAATTTGATGCAACATTTGGTGCCTCATTGGAGAAGAATCAACACCAAATTTGATGTTTTGGTGCATGATTGGAGTTGGCCTTATAGTATAGATTTTTTAGTCGCCCAAAATTATAAACCATTATTTAAACAACAAATTGAAAATTTATCAGCTGAATATGGACGCCTGGAAGGTAGTCCAAAATCCTAACGACAAACTGAGTGAATTCGGAGGCCCAACACTATTTCGTATAGTATAAGATTTTTTCTTTTTATATATGATTCGATTTTAATACTACAGTAGCTAGTGATTGGGAAATCAAGTTCAGTCTAAAAATACATAAAACTGAAACTGATGATAGAAGTGATGATAGAAAGACAAAAATCAAGAATCCCTTACTCTATGCAAAAGAAAGTAAAGTACAAAAATCATTGAATTATACTTTTCTTTTTCTCATTTTATGATATTATATGCCCTACAGAAATCATTAAATTATTCAGAAAGATTCCGCATCATAAACCTCTCAAATCATGGATTATAATAAACTCATAAAATTATAAAAGCACATCTAAAGAAGTTAAAAGAAAACAGCAAATTAACACACAGACACAGAGCCACATAGGGAGAAAAATTTATATTTTAAAAAATCACCAGGGCTCATCAGGATAATCGAAAGGTACAGGTTGAAGAGGGGAAGTCTTGCCTAGATCCGAGTGTACGAAACCATACCTACGCATGACTTGATTATCAGCGAAATTAATGGCTTTGATCATTCCATTCCAACACGTGTCACCATCGTACATCTTATTATGGTCCCCACTACAAGGCTGGCATCCCGTGAAATGCGTCACAAACGGTCTCCGTAGACTCCCTTTCCCGCCTCTTTCTCCTCGCAAAAACCTCTCCTCTCTAAACGCACCGTATCGTTCACTCACTTTCTCCGCGTGTCTCCTACGCAACGTGGCGTCTTCTCGTTCCATCTCCAGATACCGGTCCGTCACGTTAGCTAAACCCGGTACGATCTCTAACCAATACCCTTCGAAATAATACTCTCCTTCGAGGTATATCTTAGGATAATACTCCTCTCTGTGTTTAAACAGCAAATAAATCAGAGCCGTCTGATCATCTGACTCCGGAAACAGCTTATCTTTAAATATCGACCGTTGGATCTGTCCCCACTTAGCGTACTCGGGACTCACTGGGCCCATATTCGTCCACGTGTCGATCAGCTCCATCGACCACTGACAGTTTCTGATGAGGAAAACGCCGGCGTTTAACGCCGTCCAGCTCCGATCATTGTAAACAACTCCAGGCCAGCCGTGAACGACGAGATTATGGTTACGGTAACGCCGAAACGGCGGAGTAAAATCCATGTCGGTGAAAAGAGCATCGGAATCAACCCACCAGATCCATTCCGCCTCGGGATGAGCAATCATCGCCGCTTTAACCGCCGGAAGTTTCGCCCAATACGAATTCATCTTCGGATGGAGAAGCGCGTTGCTGTAGAAGATGTCGTGGCCATGGATTCGACAGTAATCGACTTTGTTTTTGAAGAATCGGAGCAAAAGATGGTCTCCGATCGGGTTTTTACAGGGTCCGGATTGTGACCCGGTTATCATAACCGTCCGGTTTTCGGATCCGGGGATAAACGACGGGTGTAGCTCTAACCACCGTCTTCGTTTCTCGTCCCAGCCCTTAACCGGTTTCTCGATTGTGTAGGATAGATCCGGGTCGTCGTAGAAAACCGGGTCGGTTGGATCGTACCGCATATCGATTCCTCGAGAGCATTTGGTGGATTCGTCGGTTTTGACGGCGGAGAAGCTGAGGTTTGGGGAAATTGAGGAGAAGGAGAAGAAAGACCAGACGAGAATAAGAGACATGAAAGCTCCACCGAGGAAGAGAACGACGTCGGAGAAACAGAATACCGGTCTGGTTCTTGCTCCGGCGTATTTTGCCATCGGAGATGATTGGAAATGCGATGCCTCAGGCGAGACCATTCACGACATTTACCTGCAAATTTTAGAGAGATACAATTTCAAAATCGGAGACTTTGTTGTATAAAGGGAATATCTTTTTTTAAAATATCTTTTCTTTTTCAATGTAATTAACAACATAAATGTGCCATTAATCACTCGCTTGATATGGTATTACTTAAATTGCTTCAGATTTTCCAAAATTATAACTGAAATTAAATTTACTCACATTTTTGGAGGATTTGTTTTCATTTTCTGATTGGTGGATAAATAACCCCTAAAGAAATAATCTGGTAGGTTTATACGTAAAAATTTGTGACCGCGACTGCGAGAGATAAGGGTTTAGTCAGAATCTTATGTGGTATATGTGCTTTTGTTTTGGTGGAAACTAGGAACAACGTGAGTGTTATGAACCGAACCGGACCGGTTCACCGACACTGCTGGTCTGCTGCTAAAAATACGATTGATGATGATGCCGACGTGTCGGTGTTCGGTTAAGCAACAGCACGTGAGTTTCCTGACTATAATTTTTTTGTTGGGTCTATTATTAGACCAAAAAAATAGAATAGGTACCATTTATTTTATTTTATTTTATTGCTAAAAGTGAAAATTATATCACCCGCAATTTCGGCTTAAGGTGTTGAAACTTGAAAATTGCACTGTTTTCTTTGTTTATGATAAAATAACAAATACAATTACATAAGAAGATAATCTAATGTAGTGCGTGTATCACTTGTTCTTGTTTTAGTCCAGTAGAATTTACGGTTGTTTTATATGAACAAAAAAATTGGTCAACTACATGCTGATCAAGTGGTATGTTGTTTTTTAAATATTTGTATTCCGAATATTAGTCAAGGAAGACACTCATAAAGAGCGCACCTCTTTGCCCATCTTTCCCATCACAGTTAATGAGGGGCACAAGATACGAAGCCATTATACAAATATAATTTGATTTTTTTTTTATATTGAAAACCTAAATGATTAATTTATTTTAGATAAAATTAATTAGATGGGTAGTTTTCAATTTTACATTTGTCAAAATAATGTGTTTTGAAAAAGTAAAAGTGTTTGGATAGTTTTTGTGCGTTAATATCTATCTTATTCTTTTAAGGTTAGTTTATTTACGTTTTTATGTTATTATGATAAATTAAATATTAAATAAAACAAAGGAAGAGAAAGAGAAAACAAAGAGAGAAAGAGAAGAGAGATAGTGTAAAAAAAAAAAACAGATTTTAATTAAAAAATATTATTATTATTTCTTTTTATTCTTCTTTTTTTAATTTATTCATTCTTATATATTATTTTAAATAATAAAATATATAATAATATATTAAAAAATATATAGATTTTTTATACACATTTTGAAATTTGAATTTTTTAAAATGGATAATGTTCAAAATTTGTTATATTTCAGTTATGTATATATTAGACATGTATTTTTCAGTTATGATATTCAATTGAAACTTGAAAGTATTCACTTGACTTTCAAATATACAAATATCAAGTATCATCCGAAAAAAGTCATTTAGAATAATTCACTCATGGTATTCAATCGAAAGTATTCACCTAACTTCCAAGCGTACACTAAAATGATGAATACCTGATAAGTGTATACCATATGTTAAATATTTTGAGTGAATATCTGATAGTTTTACACTGAATTGTGAATACTTAATAATTGTATACCAAATGGTGAATATCTTTGAGTGAATACCTTTGGGTGTATACCAAATAGTGAATACCTTCTAATGTACACCAAATGAATGAACAATAAATCATGAATACCTAAGGATGAATACTTTCGCATGAATATCTTCGAATGAATACTTAGTTGTACACAAAATGATGAATACTTTTGAGTGAATACCTTCGAATGTACATCAAATGGTGAATACTTTCAGATTTGTATATATTGTAAAAAAAACAAATATTGTCTGTTTTTTAAATTCAAATTTCAGTATGTGTCAAAAAATATTTTTATATGTTTAATATATATATATATATATAAATTATTAAATGTTTTGTATATTATGAATAATTTACAATAATTGATTTAAAAGAAAAAATAATATATAAAAAAAGATATAATAATATTTAAATACACTACTTTTTACCCATCTCACACACTCTCTCTCATGTTCTCTTTCACTATTTCTCACTTTCCCTCACGCTCTTTCACGTTCTTTTTCTTCTAATAAGAGCTCTTTTGCCATTAAAAAAATATCACTGTTCAAAAACTTTCTGAAATATACGTGCATCCAAAAACACACTCTTTTACCCAATTAAAAACTTAAAACTACCATATTTGCAAAAAAAAACTATTTATTTTATGAGGGGATATCACCCACCATAACACCTAATCTCAGTCCAACATAAATGATAGCCTCAAACATGAAAAAAAAATTTTCATTTTATAAATGACAAAGTGTATTTTTTGAAACATAATGTATTTTGCGGAACCTTGTGAATTTTGCGGAACCTAATGTCACCTTTAAAGCTATTAAAACATGGTGTATTTTGTGGAACAAGTATTGTGAACTATTAAAGTCTGATTATGAAGTGAAATTCGTGAATCCAATCAAAGAGTATTCTCATAAATATCCTATTAGGATAACGATTAGAAAGATTTACATGATTTAGTGTTATTAATATGTTAATGTTAAATGTTACACATATATATATATATATATATATATGTGTGTGGATCTTGTATCAAAAAAACAATTCAATAATATTCATATTCTATAATATTTATATATATATATATATATAAAAATTCATTACAAATTCAAACCCTCATTTCGTAAAAGAGGTTATGACTCCACAACATCTAAGAGAGCCACAAACCCTAATGTAATCATTGTTACCAATCTCTAGACCATGATAATTTTGACACTCAGACATCATGGAAACCATATGAATTTATACCAAAACCAGAAGTAACCATAGCATAGTCGCTGTTGGTGGTTGCATTTAGTAGTCTTTCAGCTATGGGCGGACAGTAAATGTCAAGTCCCTTGATCGTGTAGAAACTAGGGTAGACCTTCACTAGCACAATAACCGAGGACACGCGTGTGAGATTTATAAATCTGTAATGAAAATGAAACAGACCTTTATCACCAAACGAATACATGTACCTATTGGGGGAGTTCAACCGGAAATGTGGAACCTCATTAAGCAGCGAATAGATTGGAGGTTGATTCTCTTTTAGGACTGTACCAAGATTTAACAAAGTAAACGCTAAAGTGTCCACATTATTCATCATACCATCTCCACGCTTAAGTCTCCGAGGGATAACATTGATGAATTCCTTGACAGCGACTGATCATCACTCAATCCTCCAAAATACCTGAAAAGTGTGTCTATCTGCTTTATCACTACAAAAAAACATGTTAAATTCCTACGAATTTTCTTATGAATATTTTAGTAGGAAATATTTTTTTTATCATTTTTCTACAAATTTATAACAAAAAAATAAAAATGGAAGAAAATTGGTAAGAAATTTCCAACGAAAAAAAACGTCAGAAAATGGTTGAAAATTTCTTACCAATATTCAACCAAAATAATATCCGTAGGAAATTTGATCAGAAAATGATATGAAATCGGTTGAATTTTTTACTGTTATAATGGTAGGAAATTCGTCAGAAATTTCTGACCACATTTCTACAAATAGAATATGTAGGAAATTACCTATCATTTTTCTACGAAAAAAATATTTTATTATTTAATATTATACAAATTTTCTACCAAAATCAGCTAAAAAAAAGAAGCAGCAAAAGTTCCACATCGCCCAAGTGGAGAAAATTTCACACTCAACTTGTTCTATAAATAGGATTATCGCCCAAGTGGAGAAAATTTCACACTCAACTTGTTCTATAAATAGGATGCTAAATGAAAACAATACTTTAACACAATTTGGGGTACAAAAACCTCTATATTTAGTTAAAATTGATTTCTAATTAATTATTAATTAGAAATTTATTAATTTTGTATTTAATTTTTCTTTTTAAAATTTATTTTATAATTAAAATTATTTAATTTTGGAAAATTTTAATTGAAAATATTTTTATATAGTTTGTAGGTAAATGGTAAGAATATGATAGGAAAACGATAGGAACTGTTTCGTAGGAAAATGAAAGGAAAATAGTAGCAGCCTTTTTTGTGCACAAAAAGTCTAGGACTAGTTGTAATTCTCTTTATTTTTTAGAATAATTGTAATGAATAACCAAACTAACACTCATATTTGCAAAAATAACCATATCCTGTAGATGATACTGTAGTTTTTTTTTTAAACAAGAAGCCCTATAAACCTAGACTCTATTTATACATATGCTTATATTGTCATCTTGTTCACCTTCATCTTCTAGATCGTCTACTAAAAAAAAAAAATATTTCCCAATAATATGAAATCATCAAATCTCCATCACCAGATCTGTTTATTGAAAAACCAGATCTAAAATTTATTAGATATGATCAAAGCTGGTGAAAATTCCAACTCTGATATGAACTTCCAATTAAAAATTAACATTGGTTTGATTTCACACCGATATAATCACCCTAACTTCTCTATTGTTGATCAAAGTTCATTTTTTGACTTTCTTTATGAGAAAAACCAACTCCATATTCAAAATGCCATAACAACAGATGATCTTATCTTATTGATACCAACAGATTTAATAGTGTGTATCTAGCTGAATTACTCTTATAGATTTCTTGTTAGACTGCTAACATACCTAATATAATGTTATATATATATTTATAGCACACTAACTACAAAAGTAATACCTAATTCATTATTGTTATCAATCTAACATATTTTTTACCTAGTAAATTATAATGTTAGACGTTAATTTATTTGTAACATGTTATATATCAATAACATATTTAATCATCTATATAAGTCATTACAGTCTAACATATTATTTACCGGATAAATTATAATGTTAGACGATAATTTAAAATGTAACGTGCTAAGTATATCAATAACATCTTTAAGCATCTATATAACTTATTATTGTTATCAATCTAACATTATTTTTACCGTGTCAAACGTAATATTATATATAAATTTATATGTTATATATGATATAATAATTATTAATCCATAACAAAATATGTAATTCGTTATTATAATTTATATAGAAGTTATATTTGGAATGTATTGTGTGGATGAGATTCACCTAATGTAGATTTGGGCAGATTTTGTTTTATACTTACGAAAATTTTAAGTATTCTATGCAATCATTTTAGCCACAAAACAAATTCATATGACAGATATTAAAAAGGACAAAATGATATTTACTGATAACCATCAAAATAATGTTTTAAATTTCT